ATGAAGTTTCTCTCTGTGTGAGAGAATCACATATTGTGCATTCCACATTCTATAAACATCTAAATCTGTTCTGTCTTTAACGATCTGTACATACAGTTCTGTCAAGCTCCACCTGTATTTTTTCACATTAATGATTTACAATGTTGTGTTTAGAGTAATAAAACATGCGTAATTTAGATTTTTTTTTTCTTTATATGTATCTCCGTTCTGTATGTACCTGCACATGTATGCCTGTATACATCATCTTGTCACTGTGTTACTGTCCTGTATCTGCACATCTCTCTGTATTAATCACTTCTTGTAGACACAGACAGAATGTGGTCTGTTTAGTAAAGGTTAACTTTGCCATAGCAAATCTCATTTGACTTGGCTTTCTTAAATTCAGCTTAGTAACATCCTCTGAGGTTTTCTTGAAAAATGTTCAGGCAAATTCGCACATAAATCCGAATAGGTCCCTCCTATTTTCAGATAGGTCTCACTGTAGAAGGTAGGTTTGTTTGAAAATAGCACAAGTCAAATTTCAACGACTTGCAAGTAAACATGCCTACTTTAAAAGGATACTATAGGCAGTGCCGGACTGGGAAGAAAAATTAGGCCCGGGCATTTTGTAATCACAGCGGCCCCCTGAGAAGGAGGCGGGGCCAGAGAGGGTGTATTTTGTCATCACTAATGACAAGCACACCCCCTCTCAAAGTGAGCATGTTGGTTCACTGCGCAGAGCCCTGCTGAAGAACTCTAGTATGAGAAAAAAGCCCTGTATTTGCTCTGCGCAGCGCAAGCAAATTTAATAACATGCTTGCGCTGTTTGCTTTTAACTTGTCTCTGGTGTCTCCATAAGTGGGATACCAGAGGACAAAAAGGCCAGGAAAGAGTATTGTGCATGTGTTTGGAGCCTGCTTGTGGGATTGCGTGTGTGTGTAGAGTTAGCTGATTGTGGTGTGGTATTGTAGAAATAGGTCAATTTAATTCGTGTTTGTGGTGTAATATGTGCGGCTAGGGGCTGTAGGGGGCATAGTGTGTATAGGGGATGTAGTGAGTGTGTGCATATGGGCTGTAGTGTGTGTGTGTATATAGGTGACAAAGTGAGTGTAGGGGTTGCAGAGAATGTAGTATGTGTTTGCTTACAAGGAATGTACAGGTGATACTCGAAAAATTAGAATATCGTGCAAAAGTTCATTTATTTCAGTAATGCAACGTAATAACACCTGCAAAGGGTTTCTAAAGCCTTTAAATGGTCTCTGTCTGGTTTAGTAGGAATCACAATCATAGGGAAGACTGCTGACCTGACAGTTGTCTAGAAAACCATCATTGACGCCCTCCATAAGGAGGGAAAGCCTCAAAAGGTAATTGCGAAGGAAGTTGGATGTTCCCAAAGTGCTGTATCAAAGCACATTAATAGAAAGTTGTGTGGAAGAAAAAGGTACGTAAGCAGCAGGAATGACCGCAGCCTGGAGAGGATTGTCAGAAAAGGGCTATTTAAATGTGTTGAGGACTTTCACAAGGAGTGGACTGAAGCTGGAGTCAGTGCATCAAGAGCCACCACACACAGATAGATCCTGGACATGGGCTTCAGATGTCGTATTCCTCTTGTCAAGCCGCTCCTGAACAACAAACAACATCAGAAGCGTCTTACCTGGGCTAAGAAAAACCGACCTGGTCTGTTGCTCAGTGGTCCAAAGTCCTCTTTTCTGATGAGAGCAACTTTTGCATCTCATTTGGAAACCAAGGACCCAGAGTCTGGAGGAAGAATGGAGAGGCACACACTGCAAGATGCTTGAAGTCCAGTGTGAAGTTTCCACAGTCTGTGTTGATTTGGGGAGCCATGTTATCTGCTGGTGTTGGTCCACTGTGCTTCATTAAGTCCAGGGAGATTTTGGAGCACTTCATGCTTCATTCTGCAGACTAGCTGCTTCATTCCACAGACAAGCTTTATGGGGATGCTGACTTCATTTTCCACACTGCCAAAAGCACCAAAGCCTGGTTCAATGACCGTGGGATTACTGTGCTTGATTGGCCAGCAAACTCGCCTGACCTGAACCCCATAGAGAATCTATGGCGCATTGCCAAGAGAAAGATGAGACATGAGACCGAACAATGCATAAGAGCTAAAGGCCGCTATTGAAGCATCCTGGTCTTCCATAACACCTCAGCAGTTCCACAGGCTGATAGCATCCATGCCACGATGCATTGAGGCAGTAATTGCTGCAAAAGGAGCCCAAACCAAGTACTGAGTCCATATGCATGCTTATACTTTTCAGAGGTCCGATATCGTTCTATGTACACTCCTTGTTTTATTGATTGCATGTAATATTCTAATTTACTGAGATTGTGGATTTGGGGTTTTCATGAGCTGTAAGTTATAATCATTGCCCTTATGACAAATCATGGCTTGAACTATCTTGCTTGCATCTAATGCGTCTATCTCATATATTAGTTTCCCCTTTTACGTTGTATTACTGAAATTAATTAACTTTTGCACGATATTCTAATTTTTTGAGTATCACCTGTAGTGTGTGCATAGGGGATCCAGAGTTTGTATGTCCGGAATGTAGTGTGTGTGTGTGATTCAGAGAGTAAATAGTGATCTAGTGTGTGTAGATTAGATAATCCAGAGTTGAGTAAGGGATCTAGCATGTATCTGGAGCGTAATGTGTGCAGTGATGCTGTGTGTGTCTGAGGGTGCTGTGTGTGTACATGTTTGAGGGATTGTGTGTGTGTGTGGGGGGGGGGGGAGGCAGATTTAAATATATTCTGTTTTATTTGGAATGTATTATCTCTTGCTCTGTTAATACCTAGCTGCAGGGGCCTACGGTGTGCGATTAAAGTTACATTTGCAGAGCAGGAAAAAAAAACTTCTAAAGTAAGTTAGTATGTGATTGAACATGAAACCATTTTTTAATGTAGGCTGTGCGAGTCACAGACAGGGAGGTGTGGCTAGTACTGTATGGAGGAATAAGCTATACACCAAAACTGCTTCATTGAGTAAAGTTGTTTTCATGCCTACAGTAACTATTTAAGTCAAGTATGAGATTCTCAAAAGGTGAATGGCCTGTGATGTACGGTACTATGTTAAGATATCCCTTCAATATTCAATCTCCAGCTATCCTAGATTGGGGGTGAGGGAATTGTTTGAGCAAATGGGTTTAGGGTATATTGATAGTGTGAATTAGGGTGGCTTATAGATATGGGTGTAGTTCCCTTGGTCCACATCAGGGGATTTGGGTCAAATAAAAAGAAAAGTGGTATTTAGTTGCAGTATGGATATTTGTGAAGAGCCAATTAAAATAGAGATTTAGCTGAATTTAAGTGCAATTTGGATGCAAATGCTGCCAAAATTACCCAAACTTTTTTTTTTTTTTTGTGTTGCTGTGTATGTTTAGAATGGCAAGATTTGTGCAGAAAGAGCTGAATATGTACAATGAACTTTTATCAGCATGCTTTGATTGGGAGCTTTCTGACAGGGCAATCTGATAGTAATATACTAGTTTGCTTGTGTCTGGCTGCTGACGTTATCCAATTAAAGGGTTTGTGTTCCTAACCCTATAGTATACACCCCCTCCCCCGCCTTCTCCAATGTTGAATTAATGCTTTCCAATGGGAGATTTATGGAGTTAAACTCTGTTAAACAACAGGAAGTGGTCACTAGAGGCAGTCCTTGCAATATAAATATTGCAGTTTTTCTTTGGCAGCAATGTTTTACATTGCAGGGTTAAGGGGACGGGGACAGGGACAGTGCATCCAGACCATTTCAATGAGATGAAGTGGTCTGGGTGCCTCTAGTGTCTCTTTGGTTTTGTTTACTCAGCGATAGGACATTTCTGGGAAGAATGTAACTGATTAGAATGAAAATACATCATGGTTTCAAAGTATATGCTGATCTGTACTCACAAGTGTTTATCTCTGAATGTCTGCACATTGCTCCTTACTGATTAGCTTGGGACCCAATGACAGGTGGTTTCCCAGGGGACCATGTGCAGGTCCTCGAGCCACTTCTTCCTGTGACATGTGGAGCTGACAGATGTGGGTGTTTTGTGGTTTACCACGCATAATTATACAAAAGGTTTTTTTCCTCTCTCTCTCTTTTTGTGTGTGTGAATAAGAGGCACTGAAACCAGAGCTGTATCTCCAGGTAGCATGGCTACCCATTTGATGTCCGAAGAAAGAATTATTGACTAGAAGTACAGACTAAAATAAACAGTCTTAGATCTGAGTCTGGAATTGGATGTCATTGCAAACGGGCAACTTTTTTTTCTTTTTTTTTGTAATAACATGAGTTGAAAATCAGCACTCTATATAAGAATATTCCAAATTTTACAGAATTCTAATAATTTCTCAGTACTTTTTTGTGAACTGAATATTTTGGAATATTACACCTTTTCAAACTTTTATCTGCAACATTTCTTTTGCATTGTTGGCTGGCAGAGTAACCATTGAATTGTAAGATGGCATGCAGTTTCCAAAGGCAGCAGTTATAACCTTGTATAGATAACTGTGAGACTTCTCTTGCTGACAATATTAGATTTGTGATCATCATCCAGTGCTGGTAAAGCTTTCTCTGTGAGATAAACATTCGCATAGCCCTCTAAACATTTAATATATGTGTAATACATGACTACCTCTTTTTTTTTAAAACTTTAATTTTCTAGGATATTTCCATTCACATTTCAAACTAACATGAGATCTGTTTACAAAAAAAGTAGAATTTGTCTTTTATTGATCTCCCTTCTCTTCAGTTGGCTGATAGAATTCATCTGTGTTTATGTTGATAACAGTGAATCAAACTAAAACACATTGAGCCAAATGTGTCCCTGCTACTTTCAAATGGCTTGATTTTTTCTTTACTATAACTGTCTTAATGAACTGTATTGCCTTATAACAGTCTATTATTTTCATTCATTCAGGTAAACATCAGGAGCATTATGCCTCATTCTGAAGATACACTTTGCTGTAAGCGATAGCCCCCTTATCTCCTGTACTGCCTTGTCCTCAGATCTGCAGTGATGTCCACCTCAGGAGGGAACAGGGAGCAATGGCAGGGTCTGGAATCCCTGGGAATAAGCCGGAAAGAGCTAGCATTGGCAGAGGCTCTACAAATGGAATATGATGCAATGTCACGTCTACGACAAGAAAAGAAACCATCAGAGAGTAATGAAAACCAACTGATATCTTGGGATGTTGTCTCCCAGGTGCCTGCTTCTGTTTCCTCACCCCCTAAAACTAAACCTCCCCCATCTGGTGACTACTTGTATATATATGGTGATGGATACCATAGCAATGGTCGGGGAGAAGGAAGAAGCTCTCCCAAAAACCTGTCTCCTCCTCCATTACCACCACGCACACACATTTTGAGCCAGCGCAAGGACATTCCCCCAACCAATTTGACCAAAAGCCACCAAATGCGGGATGTCAATGTGTACAATGGAGATGTGGGAGGAAAATTGCTCAGTCGTAGGATTTCGGAACTGGAGGACGAGGATGTAGTGGATACAGAAGAGAGAAGGGGAAGTGGGTTTTCTGACTTGGACTATGAAGGTATTAATGACACCATCACCCGCCTTAATCTAGCATCTACGTATGATTCTGAACTGCTGCGCCAAGCTGAGGGCCACTGGAAAGAAGTTGGCATGCGGAAAAAGTTGGCAGGAAAGCCAGTATCAAGAAGTAATACCTTGCCACCCCAGGTTCCTCCTCGTACCTACATACAGAGGCCTGGAGAATCATCGAAAAGTTCCCGTGCTTCTGTTGGTCCGGTGAGTTCAGACACTGGTTTTATTGTGTGTATATATATCTACCTGAATTGCCAGCAAATATATGTCTCTTTAAAGGCTCAGTGATATACACCATGGTTTCTCAAGCTGTCTAGCTTTTCCCAAGCAGGAGGGGCACGTGGGTGTATGTCCAACGGGGAGTGAAAAAGGAAAGGAGCAAAGTTAAAGGGGAAGGAAAGGGAGATACACAGCCAACCTGAGAACTGGGAATGTGTTTCCTGCTGATTATGAGTTTTTGCATATAATATACAGTTAAGTTGTAAAATGTGTCTACCTTTCTAATACTCTGCTTCCTCTTTTCCATTCTAATATTTCTGACATGTCACAGGACTCATTTCGACCTTATCCCCAGCAGAACAGCTGTGAATTGTTTGAGATGTCTGAGCAGAGAGATGAGGAGACTGCTGCTTTCTGCCACATGTTGGATGTGTGAGTATTACTGCATTTGCCCCAAAAGCTCATTCACTATTTAATCAGATGGTGTTTGGAAACACACTTCTAGTGGCCTAGGCATAGAGGTCTTTGTACTAAAGGTGGGGCAGTTGGCAACAATATTAGAACTTTGTTCTGGAATGGCTATTCTGTAGGAAGGATATTGATGTTCCCTAAAAGCTTCTGTATTCAGAGTGACAGCATGTCTAACTCATTGTACTAGAAATCCCAAATCTAAAGTGAGATCACAGTGCTTGTATTACCAAGGCATTCCTACTGTTAATGTCAGTGTTATTTGCACTGTAGTTTATGAATATTGGCATGAATTATTGATATATTGGTAATGGCTCCCATTCTGGCTGACATGAATGAAAGACAACTAGCACTAATCTGTAGAATATTGAGAAATCGAAAGTGCTACTAACCCATTTCTTTGTCAATCTATATCTGACATTTCTTATCCTTTTAATAAAGTCTGCGCTCTGGACATAAAGTGACAGATCAAAGACACACTGGAATTGTCTGGAGTCCTGTCAACCTCAGCCCTGAGCACCTGGGTTATGGAGTGAGCTTGAAAATCACAGTGATAGATGACAGACTGAGGGATCCTCTCACCTTCACCTGTGACTGTAAGTTTTACTTAATTCTAGAGTTTTATATTCAGAGTAAGCGATAGGACTTGCCATGTGTTTATTTACTGTATATGAACAGTCAGTACATTTTGTAATGAAGGTGGTAGAGCCTGATAGAGCGCTGGAAATCTATATCTTACACGTTGTTTTTTTTTTACATTTTCTTATAAATATATATATATATATATATAAATCATATATATATATCTCTTACTCGTACTTTAATATCTATTTGTTGTAGATCGTTCGACTCATACTGCATGTTCATTGTACCTGTATTTTAACAAATGTATTACACATTTGTTAATGTAGGTCTCTCTTAGGAGGAGCTGTTCCCAAATGACAACTTTGTAACTTACCCCCAGAGAGTGTAGTATATGAAAGCAAACCATTAAAAGGATGCCCTAAGCACCACAACAACTTTAGTTTAAAGTTGCCATACAGTAGTTTAGAAGGTCTGGCTAGAGCTCTGGTCTATAAAATGGCACACAATCATGTTGGTTATGATAGGAGCCCTTTAAATAATGATGATGTTGAATTTTGCAGCATTCATGCAATCATTTTCTTTTAGCAGAGCCTTTTTTCAGGCAGACTTCATGGAGTGCTTTACCCTCTGTTGGAACATCCCACTTGTTGATAGATTAACAGTGTTTATTTTTTTACATCCTGCTTTACCTTCTAACCTGCTGTTCTTACTTTGTTTTTTGCTAACTATATACTTCTAGATTACCTTCAGCTAATTATACTTAGTTTTATGGAGTTCAGCTCTTTTTTCCCCCCATGATTTGCATACGTACAGGACGTGTAGACTTTCCTTTCACTTGCAGTTAATGCTGAAAGCACAAATGTTTCCACAGTTTTACATTGTAGCTTCCAGCCTCAACAAAAACAAAACAATTAGTTTATGTGTTAACTCTTCGGTAATCCCTCTCTGCCGCTCACATCTACAACATTACATTTCTTCCTATCAGCAGATCTAGCCCAGACCTCCTGCTTGCCTGTACATAAGGTTATATTTCAGTGCTGGTTAGATTATTGCCTAGGAGACATATTGTCACTTATCCGGGTTATTACTGCTATGAGTTTCAACGGGTTGATTATAACTCTATTTTATACCTATACCGATCTATATATATTGTAATTTATTACTTGGCTATGATATGTTATTGCTATTATTATGTATATGGCTCAGATTACTTTAAATTCCAATTCATTTAGTCTTCATGTTCTTTACATTCAACATTGTGTTGAAGACTGCAAATAGGGAGTTGGTTCATGCTTCTGAAAAGGCACAGCCTTAAAGGGATTCTATAGGGTTAGGAATACAAATCTTTATTCCCAACACTATGGTGCCCTCCCTCCCCTCCTCCCCTCCCCCCACATCCAGCAAATAAAGGGTTAAAAAAACCACTTTATTTACTCACCTGATTGCAGCGCCGATGTCCCTTAGCACTTCACTTTCTCAGAGGGGGGTCCCAAAGCGCATGCACTGCAAGTTTTGCATGCGTATTGTCCCAGAAGCACCTCAAGTTGCTATCTTAGTACTGGAATGCAAACATTGCAGTTTCTCAAAAAGGCAGACAGAGACACTGCAACAAGACACTTCATTTAGCTGCTCCTGTTGTGCTAAACTCTTCTGAAGGAAGTTTCGCACCCAGACAGACTATCTCCATTATAGATTCATATTGTGTTCATACATCGCAGCCCTTGCCCTGGCCAAACAGTCAAACTTTTCCTCTCTCATTAGTTCATGCTCCCGCAATCCCAGGCGTCTCTTTGACACCTTTAACTCTCTTCTTCGTCCTGCTGTGGCCACCCCCCAAACTAACCTTACAGCCGATAGCTTTGCATGCTACTTTACCGACAAGATTGAACAGCTAAGGAAAGAATTCTCCCCACCTTTTTTTTCTTTCTCAACCACACATGCCTTTCCTACACCTCAGACTTTCTCCCCCGCTACTGAACAAGAGGTGACTGCGCTTCTCCTTAATGCCCCACCACTTGCTCGCTCGATCCTGTCCCATTTCACCTTATCAGATCTCTCTCCCCCCATCTTGTGCCTTCCTTAACACACATCTTCAACTGCTCTCTCTCTTCTGGCGTTGTCCCTGCTGACCTTTCTGCAAAAAAACATCTCTTGACCCGTCCTCCCCCTATCGTCCCATATCCCTGCTCTCTTTTTCCTCAAAGCTTCTGGAAAGACTTGTCTTTACCCATATGTCTCACTTCCTCAATTCCAACTCTCTCCTTGACCCTCTTCAATCTGGCTTTCGCCCTCTCCACTCTGAGACTTCTCTTATCAAAGTTACTAATAACCTAATCACAGCTAAATCCAAAGACCACTACTCCATATTTATTCTTCTTGACCTCTCTGCTGCCTTTGACACCGTTGATCATGCTCTCCTTCTTCAAACTCTTCAATCACTCTGTCCTGTGTCTCTGTCCTGTCGTGGTTTTCCTCTTATCTCTCCCAACTCGGTTGGAGTCCCTCAAGGCTCTGTCCTTGGTCCCCTTCTATTTTCTCTTGATACTGCCTCTCTTGGCAGACGTATTACCTCATTTGGATTCCAGTACCACCTGTATGCTGACGACACCCATATATATCTCTCCTTCCCGGACCTCTCCCCTGCCGTCCTGCATCGTGTCACTGCTTGCCTTTCTTCCATCTCTGACTGGATGTCCTCCCACTTTCTGAAACTCAGTCTCTCTAAAACTGAGCTCCTTGTCTTTCCTCCTCCTAATACTGATCCTCCTCTTTCGCTCTCCCGTCAAGCTAGTGGTATCCACATTAGTCCATCCTTGCTAGCGCTCTGTCTTGGCGACATTTTTGATTCTGGCCTCACCTTTGAGCCTCACATCCAGTATGTTGCCAAAAATGTAGATTAGTTCTTAAAACATAGCACGCATCTGCCCCCTTCTTACCCAAGATGCTACCAAGGAGCTCGTCCATGCTCTAGTAATTTCCAGCGTGGATTTTTGTAACCCTCTCCTAATTGGTCTTCCCAAAAGCCATATTGCCCCGCTACGATCTGTAATGAATGTTGCTGCCAGGCTGGTTTTCCTCTCTAGTCGGTCCTCTCACACCTCACCCCTATGTCAGTCCTTACATTGGCTTCCTGTATTCCATAGTAGTCAATTCAAAGTTCTCACCCATACCTATAAGCACTGAACAATTCTAGCCCCTCTTAAATCTCTTCACAGATCCATAAGTATGCCCCTTCTAGGTCTCTCCGCCCTGCCCGTGACCACCTCCTGTCTGCTGCTTGCACCCGTACGGCCAACTCACGCTTGCAGGACTTGTCGCTGGCGGCTCCCTTCCTATGGAATAGCCTGCCTATCCCCTTCAGACTCTCCCTTAGTCTTCAATCGTTTAAGAAGTGCCTTAAAACCCATCTCTCTAGGAACTCTTATGGCCTCCCAGAGTAACCTCTACCTTACATACCTGTCTCTTGCTCTCTGCTAAACGGAAGCACTCTACTCTCTCCTCCAGCTCTGCTTCACTCTCACCTTATTTGATTGATAATACATGTCCTAATGTGCTTTATACCCCACCTCCTATAGACTGTAAGCTTGTTTGAGCAGGGGCCTCTTCAACCTAAATCCCCCCTCTCATAATATTGTAAATTGCTACGGAATCTGTTGGCGCTAAATAAATGGCAATAATAATAATTTCCTATGCTTCTTATGTTTTCCTTAAACAAAGTCCTGATTTTAAGTACACTTGATGGCTTTATTAGACATGTTCATGCTCTAAGTATGTTCTGTAAACCTGCATCATTGTCCGCGCTGAATTAATAACTTTCAGCTTTTTAGGCAGGCTTTTACAACACATATTTTGTTTATAACCCTACTGAAATTTTACATTTGTAAATTTGTAGATTGTGACCATGTAGGGGGCAAACGAGTTAGAGGAGAAGGTTGTCCTAGGGACAGTAAGCTGAGAGGAAGAAACAGGTGTAAAAGTAGTTATAGGTGTTTATAGAAACTTTCTTTGGAATCTGGAGAGAAAATCCTAGGAGATGAGCCCTTTAATGAGATTCTGGTGTTTGGACTATGTTTGATACTTATGTTTCATTATTTCTATTGCTCATCAACTACCAAACCTCCTGGTTATGCAACCACATCAGTTTGTGTTAATTAACAATTTAATAATAAAATGGCCGCTAAGTGTGCATCAATACTGTTATTAGGAATGATACTTGTTTTCATAGTTTCTCATACATTAACTAATGTGATCCTGAGAAAAAAGTTTGCCACAGTTGTGTGCACCAGTATTTTTGGCACCTGACAAAAAGTAAATCATTAACTATAACACCCATCATAAATAATGGGCTATATTTCAAACATGAACAGTTATGGTGCAACTGTTGCTCGGAGCAATTGTGATCAGAGCCGTCGTAGTTTTAATGCTAATAAATACAAACATAGCTCTCCAGTTTTCTTTGAAATATAGAATGTCCCATTCTGTATTTTCACCCATGCACATATATAGTAATATGCACAAGGTGTAAAGCTCTTATTTATATGGCACTTTTACTCTTTCCATGCATTTCTAAAGAGCAAAATCACTCCAATATTATTTCTTTATCTGCACACCAACACCCTACCCAATATCTTAGTCCCCTGATGACACAAAATACAGGAAGCCCAGCCATGTCAATCCCCCTTCCCATGTTGTATGTTGGTAGAAATTAAAATAACCCTCTGAGAACTACACTATGGTGCAGAATATATATATATATATATATATATATATATATATATATATATATATATATATATATATGTGTATATATATATATATATGTGTATATATATATATGTGTGTATATATATATATTTTATTTTATTTTTTTAAATGGTATAAGTGATTTCTTCTGTTAAAGAATTTTGTTGTTAAAAGAGTGAAATAAAATTGGGCTTGATTTTTAAGATTCTCTGTCTTCATCTCACACTCACAAATCTTGCTGAATAAATAATGATATTGTTAAAGTGCTTTACACATCAGAAGTGTCTCTATTGCTTGCTTGCTTTTACCTTAGGATGTAAATTATGCAGACCCAAGCAAGTTAATATAACAATGTTGATATTCCGTTATTGTTCAACAGCACATTAAAAATACCACATAAGGCAAATTCTACATTATATTATCATGATCTATTTAATTTTAATTTTAAAATGTTGATCTACCTAGTGGATAGAATAAAAAAAAAAAATCTGTATGTCGGTTTGCTTTACAAAGGCATGCCATTCTGTTATATTGATAAATGTTGTGTATTTAGTTTTGTGAATGCTTGATAGGTTGCCATTTCTCTTCTCATCAGGTTCATCTACTGTAGACCTGTTGATTCACCAGACTCTTTGCTACACCAGTGATGATTTGGATGACCTCAATGTGTCTGATTATGTACTCAAAATCTGTGGATTGGAGGAGTTCCTACAGAAGTAAGTGTTCAAATATCTAAAAGATCTACTTGGTAACCATTTCATCCTGTTTTGTATTCTTTTTGGGGAAACATGACGATCCCTGCTAGTCTGCTGTGTTTAGTGACTCCAGTCTGAAACCCATCTGCTCTCCCCGCCCTTTTTTCTTTTTTTCAAGATATATTATTCAACAAAGTGAAGTTAATGTCAATTGCTTTAGATTATATTCTAAACCCGCAAAAGGTGAGGGGGAAGAGGCTAAATATGATGTTGCTATTGTTTCACGGTTTATAATATGGAACATTAACAAATACACAGTATACCAAGTACAGAGTATCCGGTTGGCCACCTCTATGTGGCTTAAAAGATGCCTTCCGGGTAGATAAATTGCAGTGTCTGGATGGGTACATTTTTCCAAAACAGAAATACCTTTTGAATAGTGAGTGATTTTTATTATTATTATACCTAGGAGGAAATCTAGATGGAAGTTTTATGTATAGTACACTAGTAAGTGTATTACTGTAGGAGTACAATTGTTGCCATATGGCTAAACGTTGGATCAGCCCCACCAAATCTGTGGTAGAGTACAATAGACCCTCAAGCACCTCCAACAGAGAGGACTCGTGATCAGAAATACCATGTCAAAGTTAGCTGTGACTCTGCCACATTTTGTTCTTCTGTATGCTTGTTACTGATTTGGGGATGAAAGGAAACTGTGATTGCTTAGGGTAAAGATTTTGTATAATTATTGAAGAATTTTGGTGAGGGTGTCTAGTTGTAGGGTGGAGCCCAAGGGGCAGTAGTGAGCCAAAAGCGAGGTACCAATTGAGGATAAGACAGTCTTGTAGTCAGGGTAAGCCAAGGTTGAGGGCAGGCAGCGCAGGTTCAGGAACGGTATAACAGGCAGATAGGATAAGTACTGGATAAGACAGGATTCCTAGAAATGTATATACTGAAGAGCACAGTATAACTGAGCAATAAGGTAGAGGTTAGCTGGATTTATATAGGGGAGAGGTATCCACCTCTCACATATCACTGGTTGAACAGTGATTAGCCCTTTAAGATGTTCCAGATGTTCTTTCCCTTTAAGAGGCCTAGAGTGAATGTAGTTTACACGTGAGTTCGGCTGGAACTTCTCGCTGGTTGCTGTGCAGAGAGCCGCGACGCCGCGTCCATGACTCAGAGGAATGCTGGCTGTCTGTTCTTGGACCCATCGGAGTCCTGGGCGTGCAGCGAGGAGGGACCGCCGCAGGAGTGGATGGCCGTGACACTACTAAAGAGTTTTATAGTAGGGATATGCTCTGTTCAGGCACTACACCTGATAAACTGTGGTTTTCAGATTGCTTAACCCCTTCATCACCGAACACATTTTGATTGAAAACTATTAAAAAGAACACTATAGTGACAGGAATACAAATCTGTATTCCTATCACTATAGCTGTAATAACACTATTTAGGCCACCAGCCCCCTGTAACCAATGTAAAATGCTGAGATCATCCTATGGGAAAGCATTGGGACTATTATGCATGCGCAGTAAAATGCTTTGAATCAATGCATCTATTCGAGGAACATATGCTCTGCATGGAGACACTGAACTTCAGTGACCCAGCAAGCACCTCTAGTCACCGTCTGAGTGACAGCCACTAGAGGTGTTACTAGCCAGCAATGCAAACACTGCCTTTTCACTGAAAAAGCAGTGTTTACATTAAAATGCTTACAGGGACAGAATATACACACCACAACAACAACATTAAGCTGTAGTTTTTCTGGTGACTATAGTGTCCTTTTAAAGCAAGGGATACTAGAATATAAACATATCATAACACAGCAATTTTGTGTATAAATTGCTTTGCAAACGTAAAAATTTTAATTATGTAAATGTACACTTTCCCCCCAATTAATCTTTTATTGAAGTATTTGTGAAATGAAAAGCTGTAGACTGTATACGGTGTCCTTTATTTTGCAATATTTCACACAGGATCTGAAATGTTGGTATAAAATACAGTAGATGTGACAAATATTGATCAATAAGAATGGTCAAATACCTTGCTTATTGGTATTTGAAAGGATCCAGACGACATTACTAGCAGTGCTGCTTAATACAAAATGGCAACAGACTGTAAACATAATGTTTGCATTTGAAAATAATGCCTAGATATTATACATAAAGTTAAGCAACATGATTCTAAAATAAAAGTCTTTAAAATCATTGTCAATCTCTGAAAAGGTTAATGGTGACAGCAAACTGGTATAGTTCATTCATTCCTCACTCACCGACTCTGTAGGAATGAAATGACCCATTGAAACTACCTCTACTTTTTTACAGCAGTGGTCGGGCTTACATTTTCATAAAATTTACATTTCCATTAAATCAGTGACCTATTAACTTCTGACTTAGAAATTATTTGTAGAAAAAGAGTGTGTGAGATCTTATAAACTAGATTTCATACTGTAAAATAAATGAAAATAAAAATGTTTATACTCTGTGTATTGAAGGGGTTAAGTGGCTTATGCAGAAAGGGAGTGTTGGAAAGATTTCAGAAACATGCTTAGCCATGTGTACATAGGGCTGTATCTGAAATTTCCTTATTTCCACTTATTTTGCTATCAATATTTTGATATTTGATGATTATCTGTAATAATTATACACAATAAGTAACTTTTCCATTTTGGCTTATTACAACTAAGTATATATTTTTTTTCTTTTCTTACCCACCACCCCCATTGAGTTTGTTCCTGTGGCTTTAAGTGTTTCATGCATTATGCAAGTTAACAGCATTAGGATCAGTGTACATTTGTAAAACTTCAACTTGAACACATTTAGCTGTTCAACCCATGAAGATCTGTCACTCTACAATTCTTCATTAACTCAACTGATTTTATCACTGAACAGGTTCAGGCAAGTTTAAGTCTTGGGCCACCGGCTGTATGCCACCCAGGGACACTCACAAGTTATGTAAGCACTGAGTACATGTCACCCCTCCTTTCTCTATTATATGGTGCAGGATGTAGAAGGTGGAGTAATTTGGAGGTGGAGGGAGCTTATACTGGGTGTGGTGTCCTGTGCAATTCCCAAGTGAAACAATATGGCATTATAAGGGTCAACACAGTTTGTAGTGTTTTGGTGCACCTGTCTGCATGAGGGGTCCATTTAAAGAGTGCATTGCTTTGTGTACGTAAATGAGTGACAGCTTCTTCAATAACATACACAAAGACCGGTTCAGATAGTATTGTTGAACATTAACTTATTTGTTAGAACAGAGTTTCACAACATCCTTTCTCCATGACACACAATCACAGTCAGGTTATATAGTTATTTTGCATCAGCACTGGTGGATCAAGTAAAGTGAATGAATCACCAATTAATCTTTGATTAATGTGTCTGCCGGTGCCAAACACCTGTCCTGTGCTAGGTCTCTGTCAAAACACTGCATTAGGGCTGGGGTTTGTAAAATGTAAACATACAACTGTTGTGGAACTACCACTTTCAGAATGATTTGCCACATGTAAGGTAAGGATCTAACTTTTGCTAACCTGCCTTAAAAGTACAATTTTCTTCTCTGTAAAAGAACATGCTTGGACATTAGTAGAACTGCATTTGTCCCTGTGATATTGTACACATGATCAATGTTGCAGAAGTGATAAGTCATTACGCTTGTTCATTATAAACACCTTCTATAAACATTCTAAATGAACATTTATTTGCTTATTGGCTTCCTGCATGGACATCCCCGAAATTGAAGAACAAATTAAAAGAATGATTTCCAGTTGTAAGCTTGGCTAGATGTATCTTGAAAGGACACTCCAGGCAGCTAAAAAAGTTAAGTTCGAATTAAAGCTAAAAACCCCAAATACCTGTGGTTAGTTTCTTTTCTTTCAATTCTGTTTAGTTTACCTGCAGTGCTGTAAAATGTTTTGCTGTTTTCAGCAGTGTAACCCAGCCTCCTTAATATAAAATGATCTTATGAAAACTGACCCTTATTAAATGAACATTTGGGACCCTGTTTCAGTTTTCTTGTTAGTAGCAATAATAAAACACAACAAAAAAGTTGTCCCTTTAAATGCACAACTCATCTAAAACATAATCATTTCCTCATACCAAAATGCTCTGTAATTTTTTTCCTTTCTGTTTCTTATCATACATTAGATTTTTTGTTTTACAAGGGAACTGTCACTTCTCTGGACGTTATGCCATTGAATGATACATTGAGAATTGCAAATAACACGTGATGCTCCGTTTTCTTTTAAATTTCTATTAAAGATTTAACAACTTAATAATCCAATTTAGACAAGGCAAAGGAAAAACACTGAACTATATATAATTTAAAACATTTCATTTTTCATTTTCTCTGTATGCTTTCTCAGTGCTTATTGCCAGGTGCAAATGACAGAGCTCATAACAATTATTGACAGGTATCACATATTGGCACCCAGTTTTAAAGAGGTGTGGATTTCTGTTTACCTTCATTTTTCCACACCTCAAAAAAATTAAAATCCTGGGAAGTCACATTTTCCGAGACTATTGTTGGATTTTTTTGTGGATGGTTTTCTTGACTTGATAGGCTGCATATCAAAAAAGCCTCTGTGCAACAGACAGCCAACGCATTTCATTATGCCAAACTATAACGTCCCTTTAATCTTCATTTTAGTTTATACATTTTAATTGCAAGCTTCAATTACATCCTTTTAAAGTCATATTTAGCCTTGTTTATGTTTGGTTGGGATTCTAAATGTTGAGACCCACAGCTTCATTGAGTGTAAAAGGAGGTAGAGCCTCGCTAACACAAAAAGACTGCAATAAAGAGTGAAATTTTTTTTTTTAACCCTTTAACGCGACCAAAGGCAATTTATTGCAGACTTTACACTATGATCCCCAAGGATGTTATGCCAGCATTGATTTACCTGTTTATTTACCTTCTTAGCTGTATACATCCCTGCTTATGGCATTCCATTGGAACACGATTTGCAAGGCTGAAATTGTTATAACGACAGAAACATTCAGGCTTAGTGTTGTGAACTACTGGATCCATTCCCTGCAGGCACTTTCTATACCTGTATACAGGCTATTTTCACTAAGCCTGCTTTTTGCAGTTACATTTTAGAATGAGCAATGCAGAAGAGTGAGGATATAATATAAATACTCAATAAGGTACTTCAGTTTCGACACTCCCCTACATTGTATCTATATCCTCCATTGAACTTGCCACTGATTTGGAACCATTGGCCTAGAACAGGTGTGGCATCTTCTCTGATACATGCAAACTTTATGGCTCTAAGAGCATTATGGAATATGGACACAACAACATCTTGAATACCAGGGTTTTCCCATGCCTAGCCTAGACACTGCAAGATTATTAAGTGCTTGAGGGCCATTAACAGTACTGGGTTCTTATCTCCATTTGAGAGAGTAGTGGAGGCATAGTTCTACGAGAGAGTCAGATTGTTACATTCATAGAATGTTTGAAAAAAATTCTAACAAATAAATCACGTGCAGCATTTTGCTGTATCGACATAGTAAGTGAAATTTGACATACATTGCACAAAGTCCTCCTGGTCACCTGGCATCAGTAAGACTGGGACAGAGTATAGCTTGTGCCCATGTTCGATACATTCTGCTACACTTGTAATAATTTCAATCCGTAAGCAGGAGTTTCAACAGCACTCACCATATTGGGCACCCTGCCAGACAGCCTTCCTGGCATGCTTGAGCACGAAGATGTAATGCCCCCTTTATGGGCAGGCGCATTTTAATCACTGACACACCCACCTGCTTACTCTCTCCCGATCTCAGACCTGTCAAACTTGTTAAGTGCTTGCAGGACTTTGCATAGAGCCTTAGACTAACCACACATTCCTTCTTATTGAGTTGTTTGTAAAAAGTTGGATATCAACGATAAAACCTATATCTGATCTAAAACCGTGAGTGAAATACCTTTTTACGGGTGCAGGGTGGCCAGTGAGTTTCCATTCTCAGCGATTGCCTGTCTACCTGATGTCATAGCAGGAGGACTGTGTACTGGTGGCCCAGATCTGTCTTACATACCCTTTCTGGCACACTGTATTACATATTTGAGGGTGCTGGGGTATGTTATTCTATTCTGCTGTATCACTTAAACAGTAGAGCACACCAAGAGAGAGTTATAACAATAGTTGTTCTTCTTTGACATAGGTCGCCCAACACCACAACCCCAACCCAATGTCTGCAGGTTTAGTGCTTGTGATGAGGTTCATACCATAAAAATATTTAACATCCAAAACATAAATGAGGATTTATTTATTTGAAAGGTGTAATGACCTCATCATTCAGCCTCAGTCTTGTGTCTGCATAATATCAATGCCTGTGTTGGATTAAGCAAACAGCCATGTGTCCACAGAATGACGCAAAACTCTCAGTATAAAATGAAGTGTCAGAACAAAACATAGTGAATACACCGGCTAACATGACTCTGTGTTGCTGTGTACCTGTTTGCTGTCTTTTTTTTGTGGATCAGAATTAGCAAATAATGTAAAAACCATGAGGGGAGACCACAAAATGAAAAATCATTCCCCTACTGAATTTAACATAAAAAAACCTACTGACAGTTTTTCACATCTATGTAATGCAGACTCTGAATGTCTTTTATCTTATTATTTGACCATAAAATATAGAAATAGAGAAATGCAGAATAAAAAAAAGTCAGAGAACATATTAACCTTTTTTGTAATTTGAATTTTTTTTTCCGATTTGCATTATTTTGCTACATGTAGCCGATTTTGTGTATTTTATTTCCCAAGTTAGATTGTGTTCAACCTTAACGTGTCTAATTATTTAGGTTTAAAAATGAACTAAATAATATAGCAGTGTTTGAAATAATTGTTGTGCTTTGTTTCTGACAGGAAACCATGCTGACCTCAAGTGTGCTTAATTGCTGTTTTGAACTAAATTATTATGTATTATTTATGTATAAATCACCAACATATTCTCTAGCGCTGATGAAATGATGAAGGTCACCTAGCTAAAGGAAGTCACTTATCCTTGAAAGCATTTAACAATATTGACAATATTAACATTATTCTGGCCCTGCTTAGTTCCTCTATTAAAATGTCATCAGACTCTAGGATGTAAACAAAGTAACATTAGGATTCTCCATTAACCCCTTAAGGACCAAATTTCTGGAATAAAAGGGAATCATGACATGTCACACATGTCATGTGTCCTTAAGGAGTTAAATAACTGTCAGCTGGATGTTGGGATAAACAGAACGTTTTTAATATCCATATGGTAACTTTGCCTTGACCTGACCCAAACAGCCGGAAGATCTTAGACAATAGAAGCAGAGCGTGCAATATTTCTGAGCCAGAATAAGGAATACAGATTTGGAAACAAATTATGGCAGTGGTTTCCTTGGATAAGAGAAGTGCCCTGTCACTTACGGTCTTTACTCATTACTGTATGTCAACTTTGTTCCTTTCAGTGTTCCATTTGAACACACTTCCTTTGCTTAATGATCAAAACAGTGCAGTGGTGATGGTTGTATATTATTTGACCCTTTTGACTGACTGATTGCAGTTGTTAAAGCTATTTTCTTCTCCTGGTTTTCCTGCAGCGAACAGCCCCTGGGAAGCCATGAATACATCCAGCAGTGTAGGAAGTTTGACACGGATGTTCGACTTCAGCTGCTTAAAAAAGAGGATGTGCGCAGTGACCTTGCTAGATCGGTGAGTGATACCTCACATGGTGCAAAATGTTATTGTACTCTAAGCATGCTGTTCAGTCTGTTTACAGTGTAAGATTTGTTATAAAGCCTGCTGCACATGTTGAACTCTTGAAGCCATTTACTGGAAATCCAGTGACCATACTTAACCCATTATATTGTATAGCAGTATTCATTAAAACATCTGAGAGTACTGACTTGATATGTGATGTGAGCCTTGATATTTGTTATTGCAGGGGGCCTGGTCTTTTTGCTTGTCAGGGGAGACCAAAGATCATCTCCAAGAGGGCTGTCGATGCATTTTACAAATGCAAACCACTTTATGGATCCCCCATGTGGAATCATAACATTCCAGAGAAATGATTTCACATAATATTTTACTGATGGTTTGTCAGGATGATAATGGAGAATAGGTATCCCAAAAACTGTGATTATAGCATTCAGAGACACCCACTAACGCCATGGAGAGAATGTATGTACTGATCTCCTCTCCAGTTTCACTGTAAATGTGAGCCTCAATGCTTATATATGTATTAGTACCATTTTGAGTACCAGAACTGCACCTAGCTGTCAAAAAATTAAAGGAACTCCATAGGGTCAGGAACACAAACATGTATTCCTGACTCTCTAGTGTTCGAAATACAATCTACCCCCCTATATATAGTAAAATCTTACTTCAAATCCAGTCTGCTGCAGCTGGCTCTGCCTCTGATCTGCCTGCTTGGCTGACATAATCAAAAGTGATGACCAAAAGCCAATCACAATTCTTTCCCATAGGACTGGCTGAGATTGTTAAGGAGACAGATCGGGGCAGAGCCAGCAAAAGCCAAACACAGCCCTGGCTAATCAGCATCTCCTTGTAGACATGCATTGAATCAATGCCTCTATATGGGGAAAGTTCAGTGTCTCCATGCAGTGCTGTACAGTGTGTCTCACTGCCCCAAGAAGCACCTCTCGGAGCCTTCTGAGGAGTGGCCAGTGGAGGTATCACTAGGCTGTAATGTAAACGCTGCATTTTCCCTGAGGGGAAAAAAAACCCTTTAGTTTATTGCAAATACTCACCAGAACAAATACAATACACTGTAGTTGTTCTGGTGACTCTGGTCTCTCTTTAATGAACATTTGTCTGTTGTCTAATTAGACCATAATTCTTACATTTTAGATAAATGTGTTAAGTTGTGTACTATTGAATGTCCAGTCATTTGGAAATCTTGATACATCATAGCCTGTCTTGCATTGCTTTGAAAGATATTGTTATATGCTTTTACTTGACAAACCAAGGAGGACATAAAACAATTACATGAATAGACTGTATGAATAGTCTGACATATTCATGTTTTACCCAGGCCAGTGACAGCCAGAGTCCTTCTACTCTCAACCACCATATTCATCTCCAGGAGAGACCTGTCAAACAGACAATAACCAGGTTAGTAACATTCAGGAAACAGTAAAATAAATGTTATACCTTTTAGGTTAGTAGGTCACTTCCACATATACTTGTGTTTGCATAAATGTACACTTTTACTGATTTCATACATCTTAATCTTGTCAAAGAACTAAAAAAGAGGAAAAGGTTTTTAAGATTAACAGTTTTATATTTCCTCCTAGTCTTCACTTTTCTCTTGCCTTTATTTATGTCAACCTTTTGCTTCTCAGAAGCTCTCATGGACAGCCCCGTTGTGTGTACAGCTGTATGCTCTGTACTGTGCATGAGCAGAAATAAACAACACGTATGTGCACATTTCGACTGCTAATACTTTAATTGAAGTATATAAGAGCTGACAAATGTATTCTTTTGGTTATAATTATTAATTTGTTTAATATGTGGACTGTAAACCCTTTCACTCTACATATTTCATTTGCTACTGCTGACACTGAAAAAGTTAGGCAAAGGACAAAAAGTCACAATTCTTAATGCAGGCTTATCTGGGTCATCTAGCCTTACTACTGGTTAAACATTCTACTGTGTCCCATAGCTGATGTAACAGTAAACTCTGATATAAAGGACCCCCCAAAAAGTTGAGCCTCTCTGTTAGCTATCTTAATAAGCTTCAGCCCTGTCCCATTTGCAATGGGCCCTACCTAGGCAGTAGCCTTGTGTTAAATCTTACCTTGCATGCACTTCTTATGTGCAAATTTTAATTTGTAAGTAGAATATATTTATATAGCTATCTAATCACTATAAGTATTTGATAAAGTCAGAATAGTAATATGTGGCTTGTCAAGTTATAGTCCCGTTTCTCAGTATTTATTACTAATTTTATTTCATAAAGTTCTTCTTTTATTTTGTACAATTTTGGGTGTGCAAGGGCACCATACACAGTAATTCTACAATGCAAGATAAGTATGTTGTTTGCTATGGAATCTCAACAAATGACAAATGCGTAACTAACCCTGACACCCTTTTTTCACTGTGATCTGCATTGACACACACAAAAAAAGTTTTCTATAATTTAACAGTTATTGTACTGCCTGCATATTCTTAATCTGAGCTTTCTATAGGTCTGGGGAGATTTCCATGCATGTAAGTGTTAAGAGATTAGTGAGATATACATATTAGAAGAAATCAACTGTGTGCCTCTTTTTCCTCAGGCAGGCCATCTCCCTGCTCTTCGACACATATCATAATGAAGTAGATGAATTTGTTGCAGCAGATGTGAGTATGGTTACCGTCTCATGATATTATGTTTTGAGAGGCTGATGTCTATAGCTACGTGTGGTCATACTTTGTAACCACAAGGATCTTTTTATACTTTAAATGCATTACAATAATGAAAAGGACTTGTTAAACATTGGGGTTCAGAAAGTCCCAAATATATCATTTTCTTGAATTTAGAAACTTCTCACTACAAAGGTTCAATTACAGGGTTATTCACTAAAGTGAGAATTGCAGGGAATTCAATGAAAATTTCATTAAGGTCAAAATAGCTGAACTGGAAAGATTCGCCCAGCCAGCTATTCTTTCGATTTGAAATTCACTCAGAATTCCCTGCAATTCTCACTTTAGTGAATAACCCAGTTAGAACATAGACCTTTAGATAAACATGTCACATAGCTGTGTTGTGCACATTCAAGGCAATGGCACTCATTACATGCCCTTAGACTGGTCATTTGATGCCCAGTAATCATTAGATACCATTATTTGGTTTGAATGAATATCCTGAATGGGCATCTTCAATTAAACAGGTCTGCTGTAAACTAGAGGAACATGAATTTGTCAGTGTTGGGTCAAAATTGTATTTCCATATTTTATATAATGTTGTCTAGCTGGCAGCCAGAGGGATCAAAAACTGTCCAAGGAGTGTTCATGTAGCTGCCATTCAACCTGAAAAACAACATCAGCTATGTCTTAAATAGCTCTGATTTCCTCCTCTACCCAACCACAACCAAAGGATTCTGATCAGGTTGAAACCCTCCTAAGGCTTCAGGTTCTTCCTTCTGTAGTACTTGTTTCTTTTATATCCTGTCTTAATATTATTTTTCCATCGTCTCTTCATGTCTTTGACCTAGATTTAGATGTTTGTCCTTATTCCTTCATGATTCTCCCTGTATTCACAGGTAGACTTCCACCTCCGATCAGAGAGGGTGGTGCAGTCAGTGAAAGCAATCTGTAATGCTCTTGCTGCTGTAGAAACCCAGGAAATAAGCAGTGCTCTGAACCAGCTCCCCCCATGCTCTTCCCGTGTACAGATAAAGTCCAGTAAGGTGAGATACTCTTGACATTTATTTTAAATCTGTGGTTTTTATTTATATGGAGCAATTCTGGAGCCATCAGAAAGGACAGTCTATTGTGTTACACGATTAGAACATTTGCCTCACCATTGTTCTTTTTAATGAATCCCTTTCATATCATATCACAATGAAACGGAAAAGTATTTTACATAACTTGCTCATCTGTGATAGATTTACGAATTGTTTGATAGTTCATAAGTAAAATTCCAAATTTTATCTTGTGATGACTATTCTTAACTTAGAATAGTAATATATCTAACGTGGGAGTTTTTCACTTACGTTTTGCTTAGTGAATAATGGAAACCATATATTAACAGGGCAGAAAGGTAGACCAGAACTCTTCCCATCTTTAGACTATATTGTCCATATCTTACTTTATGTCTCTCTGTTATAACTGCAGGATCCCAGTTTTCTGACCAAGAGAGAAAACAGAGGTAATGTTAATTTAAAATCTTTCACATGTTTTAATAATGCATGCCACAAAATATCAGTGTTTTGTTTTATTTTTTTAAATGTAGTTGCAGGGCTAGCTTTGCCATAAGTCGTACTAGGTAATCTCTTGGAGAACAGACCCAAAGAAAAACTTTTATGACCAGCTCAGTGTCCCTTCCTGTTGCAGGGGATCTTGTGGTCTCCACATCTGGTGGGTGCATGTCACTGTTTATATTCCCTTGCGATCTGTGCTTTTCAGTGAATCATAGAGTGGGCAGGGAGCCTCCCATCCAGCACTGAGCTCAGCACCAAAGGCATGCAACAGTAATCTGCGTTCTCTGCATATGCAGACCTCATGCTGCCACAAACTGACCACCAAGCATCATAACTCCCTTCCATACTCAAAAGGTGTAAAACTACGGATTAAATCAGTTGGGGAACCATCCACTTTACACACACAGTCCAAGAACTCGACATAAACTCACTCGTATAACTCTCTACACACACCTTCCAACAACCCCATGTAGCCTATACAAACATCTGCCCTTACACATGGAGTCACACATACTCACAATGTCTATTGTAGCTTCACATTAATAGCTATAGTATGTGGTACATACAAAAGACTTATCAGATAGTATTTTAAAATGCCTTCCCTGTAAAGTGAACATACATGGACTGAAATAGTTATTAGCCATTTTATTTGAAAAGTAAGTGTTTACCTTATTTTTGTGTTTTTTTCCCCTTTTTCTACAATATAATATTAGTTGATAATGCCTTTTCACTTTAAAAAATAGAAATTGTAGATGCATTGGTAATTCTAGTCCAGACCATGGATTTTGTTTACATTATTTAATATATATTTCTTAAAAAAAATCTACCCTTTCATGTCTAAACTAGATTGTTATATTTTTCTTTGGTTATGTCATTTGCTATTACTGTACTGTATCTTAGTGATGTTCAGTACGAGAAGGAAAAATATCTTAGTTGCCCCCTATGGATGTCATGTTTGGTATATTCAGCGCCACCTACTGGAATAAATTGGCACTGTTAAGCCACTTAGAATTCGAAAACACAAGAAAAAATGAAAACCTAGTGCAAAACATTAGCTTTGCAAAAACACTGACTAATGCAAAGCTTCTAGAGTACAACTATGTTTGGTCTTGAGTTTATATTATTTAAGTATTTAACACTCAAATGTTCCTCCCTTACTCATCTTTAAACTGATCCTCCTACTCATATTTAATTTTCTGTTTAAAGTAAAATTGCCTAGCAATTCGCATAATCTCTTCTGAGTCAAGATACAACTGTACGTCTGCAGCAAGCCCAAAAATATAATTACATTTTGGTAAATCAGAAGGCACGGAGTTATTGTCACCTAATTTATTGGGGGTAAAATAAGAAGAGTAATATCCGCAGAAATGATAGCTAGTAGTTGCATGAAGTTCTGCTTTATTACAGAATAGAACAGTGTTCACTTCTTTGTCTGTTTGATGCCTAATTCTCATGACTTGCTTCACTACTATATTGCACCATTTAATAGATTGTACACTGATCATGGAATGTGCCCCCTGCACATTCTTTGCTATATATATATACACATACACACACACACACACACACACACACACACTCTCTCTCTCTCTTTTTCTCTCTCTCTCTATAACCAGTCAACAACATTCACCTTCTCTACTGCTGGCCAGTGGGTGGAATTTTTTTTATACTGGACTATTCACAGTGGTTGAACCAAATTGTATTGAGCTTTAATTATTACTATTATTAGCATTTACAAAATACTGCGGCCAAAGTAAGTTACATTTTGGTCTATCTGTTTTTGTTTATTTATATATATATATATATATATATATATATATATATATATATAATTTTTTTTTTTTAAATCTACTTAATTTGCTTTCCTCTACTAATATTTTGGTTGGTAAATGTTTAATACACAATTGGGATGTGCACCAACCTTTGGAGATTCCTAGTGATTTGCAGATAAATTTAAGAGAGCTACTTCATGGCTCTTCAATAGGACGAGTTTTTTTGGTTTTCTTTTTTTTGTGCAAGAGATTTTAGATATTTACAGTATTCTAAATTTGAAACTGAATGTGACCTCCCTACAGCTCAAGTTTCTGTTACTAAGAGGGTGGCTCTAAAAGGAATTTTGTATGAATTTATCTTAGATGGCACACCTATTTTTTCCTTCCTGTTTGCTTGCAACAATTCTGTTCCTTAAAGTGCCAGGAAAACAAACTTGTTTTTATGGCACTATATATTCCCCCTCCACCAAACCCTTTCTGTCACTTACCTGGGTCCAGTGCTGATGTCCCGCAGCGCTGGCTCAGGTCCAACTTTGCTTCTCCCCTGCTGACATCAGCCGCTCTTGCATTAGGATTTCCCCATATTTAATCATAATGCAATGCATTCCTATTCGGATTCAGGGGGAGCTGGAAGTCCTCATCCATAGTCAGGCAACCAAAATTTGAGTAATAGTTCAGAAGTCCCTCTAGTGGCTGTCTGGTAAACAGCCACAAGAGGTGGAGTTAAAGGACCACTATAGTGCCAGGAAAACATACTCGTTTTCCTGGCACTATAGTGCCCTGAGGGTGCCCCCACCCGCCGGGCTCTGTGGAGAGGAAGGGGTTAAACACTTACCTTTCTCCAGCGCCGGGCGGGGAGCTTTCTTCCTCCTCTCCTTCTTCCTAGCGACGTCATCAGCTGAATGCGCATGCGCGGCAGGAGCCGCGCGCGCATTCAGCCAGTCTCATAGGAAAGCATTCATAATGCTTTCCTATGGACGCTGGCGTCTTAAAATCACAGTGAGAAGCACGCAAGCGCCTCTAGTGGCAGTCAATGAGACAGCCACTAGAGGCTTTAGAGGCTGGATTAACCCTCAGTGTAAACATAGCAGTTTCTCTAAAACTGCTATGTTTATAAAAAAAAAGGGTTAATCCTATCTAAACCTAGGTGCCTATAGTGGTCCTTTAACCCTGAAAGGTAATTATTGCAGTTTATAAAAAACTGCAATAATTACACTTGCAGGGTTAAGGGTAGTGGGACAGTGCAACCAGACCACTTGAATGTGCTGATGTTGTCTGGGTGCCTATAGTGTCCCTTTAAAGCCAACAAACTACAATTAATATTTTTTCTATTGACTGATATTTAAGCTGTGTGAGTGATTTTCCTTTCACTTGTGTACTGAACACGTGGAGATATGAGGCACACAGCTGGGCAGAATGCAAAGATACATTTTGAGTGTAATGAAAACCTTCTTAGCTCAAGGACGCTGGTTCCCATGTTGCCCAGATTACTATTTTTTTTTTATATATAGTTTGGCTCATTAAAACATTATTGAGTGTGAGGTATTGTTCATGTCTTTGTGCACGTCTCACATATTGTGTATATTTGTTTTATAGAAAAGGTGGTGGAAGGCCTCACGGAAGCCATCTTTGACCTGGTACAAATGTACTGTAGTACATTCAATGCAGACTTCCAAACTGTGCTTCATGCTGAGAGAAAACAGTGCCAGTCGCAGGATGCCTCTCTCTTAACCAGCCGCCTCTCCTTTACAGTCTATGCTGCCCACCGTGTCCCCATAACTTGGGCTGCCAGGTAAGTGCATATCAACATTAGAGGAAGACTAACAACACTATGCCCAAACCTCTGCTAGGGAGCATAGGAAAGAGCTGCATAGGCCTGTGTTCACCAGCACTCTAGCAATGCACTAGAAATGTAGAGTGGATTTTTAAATTTTTTAAAATGTATTTTTGTTTTTATTTTTCATTTTCAATATAGTTTCTGAAATCTTGTCATCATAATGCAAATGAATAGGTAATGGCCTGCTATTGCAAAGGGCCAATGAGATGCCGTTTGCCTTTTGTACTGTAAATGTTAATACGATGCACAGTAGGTGGTTAACAAAGAGCCTAGGTGCTGCCAGACTTCCCCCTCCATCAGGCTGTCATTCTCTCCTGATCAGTCTGTGTACGTGTGTGCCTAGTTACTGCGCAGAGAGCATGTTGGGATGAATAGGGAGTAGTTCATCCTCACAGCTGTGCTGGAATTCTCTGGGCTTAGCCCATTGCTTCCTCATTCTATCAGCCTCTCCCTCTTCTCTACTCCTTCCCCCCTCTATTCTATTCAATGGCAGATGGTCAGTTCCAGGCTCTGCTAGTCCCAGGCTGCAGTATCAGGGAGTTCTAAAAGAGGGTGGGGATTCCCCCTTTGTCTGAAGAGCTTTTCAGTCTCTGTTCTGCTATGGGAAGAGGAGGGGATTAGAAAAATAGGTGCATGGGAGGAGGGGGTGGCTATGACCTTTGGTATTTCTCTCTACACCAACATCCCATCCTTTATAAAGCTTGCCTTGTGATCGCTGGAAGGGTTGACGTATAAACATACAGCTGGGCACAGCCTTTTTTCCTCTTGCCTTCTCCCATATTTAACAGCGTGCTCCTCTCCACCCCATGAATCAGTCATGCCACCATCCCTGTGTCAGTTTCCCATGCTTACATATTCTCCATACAAATCTCCCTCTACTTAGCCCTGCACATTTTCTAATTTCTCCCCCTTCTGTTCCCATCCTTCCCCTTTAAGCAGTGATCTGTAACAATGGTATTTGATAACCCCATACCCTCTCACACCCAGTTTGTACTTGTCTGTCCTCAGCTGCTTAGCTTGCACCTGTCACATGAGTGTTATCAATCAGTCCATGGGACACCGCTACCATAATAAAAGGAAGACAGGGATAGTTAGAGGTAACAATCTCCTGGCATTATAGCTACAACTCCCATCATTCACAGATCATCTTTTATCACGTGGCTAGAAATTGTAATTTCAAGGAGCAGAAGTGCTTGATATTTCTGCTTGTTACTATCTAACCAGCCCTTATATAGAACGCTTGACTACTTAAGAGCAATGTTTCTAATCCCACGAGGACATGCCCTATACCCACTTAGCCATCACATTATTGCATTTTACAGCAGTCCCTACTTTTTAGGTTCACGTGTCCCTGTGTTGGGTTTCATTGGTATCCGAGTGGCAAAGGTAATTTAATAATAAACATTAGATTAGCAGGAAAGAAACAAACATACAAGTACTGACTTGAAATTTACATATTTTTAGAAAGCGGAAATCCTTTCTCGTCTGTGACTTAGTGGCCTATTAGAAAAAAAATAAAAACGTGATCTGATATAATTTCTCTGTATATGTCATTACAGTTACGAGGATTTTTGTGTGTCCTGCTCCTTGAGCCATGGAGGGAAGGATCTGTGCAGTCCCATGCAGACCCGCAACATCCATGTGTACAAATATCTCTTCCATCTCCTTGTCTGGAACCAGATGTAAGACACCAATCTTAATAAGCCATCAGGGCAGAGGAAATTATTATTATTGGATATATATGCTTTCTGTTTTTGATAAATGCAATGGGTGCTTATGGTGCTGATTTTTTAATTTATTATTTTTAATAAATTGCAGCTGTGTAGTTTTCAGTCTGCAATCTTTACTTAATCCAGTGCTGATCTGATTTGTGTATTTTTGTAATAAATGTATAAATGTCCAGGCGAAATCTCAGATATCGCCAACATACCTCGTCAGCTTACACAATCTAGATTTTATGAGGCTGTTATTCTTCTACAAGGGATACTGCATCTGTGTATAGGAATAAAGTACTGATTACTGTACCTATTTTTACACACTATAATAATAAGCAGCTGGTTTGTTACAGGCCCATGAGGTCTAAGACCAGTTATCATGTTGTGATAAGATATAGAAAACGTATTTTGACATTTTAGTATTTTCAATGTCTTCTGTCTTCTTTTTTGTTCACTCATTCATTTAGATTTGTCCTTGTGAACTAGTTGTTCTGTAAGTTTTGATTAAAGGGATTCTCCAGTGGCAGCAAAACATATTCGTTTTCTTGGCACTGCAGGACCCTGTAGTGCCCCTCTCCCTCCCATCCCAAGTTGCTGAAGGGGTTAAAACCCCTTCAGTGACTTACCAGAGTCCAGCACTGATGTCCCTCGGCGCTGGGTCAGGCTCAGCCTACTCACCTTAAAGGACGACTATAGGCACCCAGACCACTTCAGCTCAATGAAGTGGTCTGGGTGCCAGGTCCATCTAGGATTAACCCTGCCTGCTGTAAACATAGCAGTTTCAGAGACACTGCTATGTTTACAATAGGTTAAATCCAGCCTCTAGTGGCTGTCTCATTGACAGCCGCTAGAGGCGCTTCCCACTGTGATTTTCACAGTGAGAAGACGCCAGCGTCCATGGGAAAGCATTGAGAATGCTTTCCTATGAGACTGGCTGAATGCGCGTGCGGCTCTTGCCGCGCATGCGCATTCAGCCGATGACGGCAGAAGAAGGAGGAGATTCCCCAGCGCCGAGGGAGATTGGCGCTGGAAAAAGGTAGGAATTTAACCCCTTCCTCACCCTAGAGCCTGGCGGGAGGGAGACCTAGAGGGTGAGGGGGACCCAAGGACCCTATAGAGCCAGGAAAACAAGTGTGTTTTCCTGGCACTATAGTGGTCCTTTAACAATGAAACAGCTGTTCACTGGCTGTGTATCTTTTCCTAAGTTGTGTTTCAAAGCTGTTGTATACAGCAAACACAGACTCAAAGGAATCCATGTTTAAAATGGAATGAGGCAAAAATGTCATTCTTTATTGAACTAATTTGCATATGCCCACCCAGAATCCTTTGCGGTAGTAACATTAGTGCAAATATGTGATTCCTGTGGGAAAAGCAACTGTTATGGCTTGACTGGTGTGCAGATTTTTGTTTAACATTGTGTTTTATATATATTTATATATCTCGTGTAGATTGGATTAGCCATATTAGTCCAGTAAACAAGATATAAGAGAGTTGCAGTATGCAAATATACCTTTTTTATTGGACTAACATAATATTTCAAAGACAAGCTTTCGAGAGTTTTCCTCTCTTCCCCGGTCTGGAGCAATACTAATCAATCTGATAGATTTAAACACTTAAAACAACTGATGTTTGGCGGAGCCTGACAACCAAGATGGCCAGACGTGTTTTGTAAGAGCTCCAGCACCGGTGGGCCAATAAACACTAATCCTGGCTAAACTACTGATGCTACCGACTCATGGTGACCAGAGGGCGACAAAGGAACAACCGGAGAACAGGATGATACCTGTCCTGGACCAAAACGTGACGAAATTGCCTGAACCGGCCATGCGGCCTAAGCCAGAGCGGAGCCTGATGCCTGGGGGAGGCGGCCAGCAGGGGGCACGCTCACACGCCCGATACAGCTCTTCTACCTACCTCCCCCCCAGACCGGCAGGGGTCATCCCGGTCCTCGCTGGGGACGATCACCACCATAACACAGCCTGCAACTCACCGGACTCAGAGTTCCCCTGGGACCACTGCTGTGAGAGCTCCTGGTCGACTCAGGGAGAGTACAGAGAAACCTTCAGAATGCCACGCAGAGCAAGCTGACTATACAGCAAGGCTGGAAGCAATATTTGCAGCTTTTTGGCAGAAGCTTGAAAGGAGCATGCAACAGCACGCCGATCGACACACAGATTTCGTCCATCAAAGCGACCACGAGGCGAACACAGAATGGCTACCGCATACTCACCTCAGCACTCACAGGGCTCACAACTCTGGCGCAGGCTAGCAAGTAAGCAGCACCAGCCTGTCCGGAACCAGCCAGGTGACCTCTCGCGGCACAAGCCGACCCCAGCTACAAAGCATAAGAGCGCAGCGACGACACCCATCCGAGCCCTATCAGGGCGGCAAGGCGGGAGACGTGCCGGGCCGAGAGACGCACATACCCACCCAGGTAGATTCCCAGAGGGGGAAAGCCTGCCTCGGGGTTACCCCCAACATCAGCAACGGTACCAGGGGGAGCAGGTTCATCATGGGGACGCAACATCCATAACCATAGCAGTGCAAGGGTGTCAAATATTGACAAGGGAGGCTCAAGCAGATCCTCCTCCACCCTACAGGGAGACAGACACTCACAACACACGAGGTAACTCTGCCGAAACAGAGGCATACAGACACCACCGGCCCACCGCACCGCTGGCTCCACCAAGACAGCCCTGAGGGACAGAGGTAAACAGCCACCCGACACTCATACAGCCAGATGGATCCTTGCTACAGCCCCGACCAGGGATGCCACAGCCGAACAGTACCCGCATGTACAAGGCCCAACACCGGCAGCAGCTTCATCCGATGGCGAAGGGGATCACAGCTGCACCTCCCGCATACCAGAGGCTCCTGCCAAAAGCCGGAGTCGGGTGAACCCCCGAGACTTAGATCCCAGAGACTGTAAGCACCAACCACTGTGGACTCACGATGCGACTTACCAACGATACTACCCTCCTCTTTGCCTTTTAGCCTAGGGTGTATTTCTCTCTAATCTTGCAGAGTTATTCCTGTACCTAATCAGTGTAGCAGGTCTTTTATATATTTCCTATATATCTCTCATTACAGACAGCTGGCTACAGATGTCCACTTAATGTATAGGTGCTATATACCAACCAGCTACTGCCATACTGCAAAACATGCAATTACGTTATAATAACCCAGTATTGTCAAGCATCAATCATTTTAGTTTTGTACTTAGCCTCTATACCCTCATACAAGTACAAAAAATGTTTTCTTAGTGTTACAAATATACGTTTCAACTGACATGCCATTATACTGTTGCCCCTGCAGTTTTGAAGTGAAAGAATACCCTTGATACCTACACTTTCTTCCCATCTGCAGCCTATACAAACTACAGGACTAAACAGGATGCTAATTACTGTTGTCTTTATTTAGATTTTTTTTTTTTTTTACTTTTTATGAATCTTGCTGTTGTGGCCAGTATAGCGAGGGAACAGAATTATTCATAGTCCTTTGCATTGTTCTTGCAGAAACACTAGCCTACACACTAAATCTATGTGGCATTAACACATCTTGCTTAAGACTACCTATATATGCCTAGATTTGATGCCTATGAGAATATAATGCTATGCCAGACCTACTGTCTTTGTTTGGCAGTATTGGCTACAGGGGAACACACTGGGCTTTACTCATGTCAGCTCATGCTGATAATGGGCTAGCCCAGTTAAGAGACCATCACCCTTTCTCACTATTGCTAGCATGTCAGTATCTTATAGCATTTATGTCATAGCAACGCTCCTACACCTACTCAGCCCTGGAGGCAATACTACTCTTGTAGGCTAGAACCATGATGAATGCTTAATTTTTATACATATATTCCTGATAGTATTCAAATCGTCTACTCTACTCCTCGTGGCTACCAACTTGGTTGCAGCTAATGTTGAAGCAAATGTTATAGATCTCTTTAACAAATCTCTTAAAAATTGTGCTGTTAATTCTTGCCATGTTACTGATTGTCTCGTGTTGTTCCATCAGCTTGTATCAGCTGTCGTGGCGATATAAACTTGTCTGTAATTCTTAGCACAACAAAAATAAAGAATAAAAAAAACAAAAAACTGATGTTTAAGTCTATCAGATTGATTAGTATTGGTTCAGACCTGAGGAAGAGAGGAAAGCTCTTGAAAGCTTGTCTTTTAAATATTATGTTGGTCCTGCAGTGCCAGGAAAACAAATATGTTTTCCTGCCACTGGAGAATCCCTTTAATCAAAACTTACAGAACAACTAGTTCACAAGGACAAATCTAAATGAAGGAGTGAACAAAAAAAAAATGTAAAAAAATATTGGGACGAAAAATACGCATACAGAGAAATGGACACTTCTGTGCCTATGGCTAATTACTCCCGGCACACATTACTATGTTCCTACAGTCTATCATTGACAGATGTTAACCGGTCTTATCCTTTCAGGCAGCACTGGGAAGCCTAGGACCTCTCTGCCTCCATACATTGAGAGCTATGTTTTTACTTTTTTAAGTACACTCCCTCCCTTGTCCACCCTCACAGCTTCCGTTTTATAGCTCAGGACAGGCAAATTTGCTCTGAGTTGGTGAGAACGGTCCATCAAATGCTTCTCTACGTGAAGCTTTTGTTTGGATCACAGTTAAGGAAGGATGATGTGATGTTAGGCGAAGTGTTGAAGGTAAGTTTTACCCTTTTTTTTTTTTTTTACAAGGCTTTCTAACTGGAAAAAAAATGGTAGTGGACAAGTTACAAGTGCCCAATAAAGCAACCCTGTAATAAATTACAGGGTTTTATTAAAAGTAAGGTTTGTTGTATGAGAGATATTTGTCCCACTCCTACTGGCTCCAGGTTCACCTTTTTGTGATGCAGTTTGAGAAGCTGCCCCAAAATAGCCTGAGAAGGACTGACTCAGTGAGAGGTATCTTCCCTCCCTGCCAAGTGTGAAGCAGCCATAGCACCAGCAAATGGAAACGGGATAAATTTAGAACGTGCCTGCTGTCTCTGAAAGTACAGAGTGAGAAACCGGTTTAAGACAAGACAACAGAAAGCAGCTGAGAGACAAAAACAGATTTTTAAGGAAGAGGCCAGTAAAAAAAACGAGGCAGAAAGAGGTGTTAGAGAGAACTAAGGGCCTCAACGCTCTGCTGTATTAAGAAGGCTGTAGCTGATGGAAAGTTATAAATAAACCTTGGATATGTTTACAGAGGGGTAAGGAAGCCTTTCAATGCTACAGCTTCCAGTGAGAATGAATCAACAAGATTGGCTTCTAAAACACAAGAGAAAAGAAAAACAGCTGGATTTTTGGATTTTTCAGACCTATATCCTTCTGGGATCCTATTTCTTAAGTGGGCCAAGTCCAATCATAAAATTATTGTAAAGAGTATATGAAATATGGTGGCTTCTACAAGGACACAGTGTGTTTCTTTCTGAGGTGGAATCAGAAAAGCCTTGATTAAGTTGACCTTTCTCCTGTAAGGTAAATATGTGTCTCCGGTTTTAGGATAAAGTTGCTTGATTCTTATTTAGAATATGTACAAACTAATTTTATTTTTATGAATTTAGGGTAGTCTGCATGCTTGTGTATTGGACAGCAGTAGATTGTACATTGTGTAGTTTCTTGTAGACCATGTATGATCTGTAGGAGATGGATAGTACCATGTTTTACTGACTGAGTAGAGGTCAAATTCTTAACTTATCCTTAAGAGGTCAAATCCTTAATATATACAAGTTTAGCTTAATGAAGAAGTAAAGTTGTATAGATCATGTTCCTGCAGCCCCACTGCTCAATTCACTGCCATTTAGGAGTTAAATCACATTTTGTTTCAGTCTATGCAGCCCTAACCATATCTCCCCTGTCTGTGTCTGACACAGACTACATGAACTATATGGTTTCATTTTCAATCGGATGTAACTTACTTTAAAAGTTTTTATCACCTGGTCTGTAAATTTTACTTTATGTACATAAAGGGGTTTAGCAAACTAGCAACAGAGCAAGAAATTCTGAATTAAAAAGATTTTGAAATAAAGGAAGTTTAAACATTAGTTGATTCTTTACAGGAAGTGTTTAGGAAGGCTGTGCAAGTCACATGCAGGGAGGTGTGACTAGGACTGCATAAACAAAGTGATTTAACTCCTAAATGACAAAGCATTGAGCAGTGAGACTGCAGGGGCATGTTCTATACACAAAAACTGCTTCAATAAGCTAAAGTTGTTTTGGTGACAAAAGTGTCCCTTTAAGATATACATGGCAGCCCAAAGTCTCATACTGAAGTGGATATGTGATTTGGAAATATTACATTAGTTTATAGATTAAGAGTTGATAAATTTAGAAGAAGAAAAAAATAAAAGTGCATAATTTGGAAATTCTTGTTTCCACTCTGCTATTTTAGGCTCAATGTTGTTCTATATTTGCTACAACTAGGTTATTATTTCCAGAAGGTGGACATATTCAGCAGCACTGTACATTATATAAGTATCTTATTTAAAATGTGACTTTACAAGTTTTTAAACAGGTACAGGTTTATAAAAATGACAAATCATGCTAAATTAATGTCACATTTTAAAAATGCCTTTTAGAGGCTAATTGCATCTTCAGCATAACATAGTGATTTTTAAGTTTAAAAAAAGATGCAGGTCCTTCAATGTCATCCTTTCAAATATACTTGTTGAACCAAAGGAATGCAAAATATGTCCCTCCCAGGCTCCCACCCATCCCATCTGCCAACAGGCTTGAGTTCAAACTGTGTCTCCCCAAGGGAAAAAATCCTTCTTGACTTAAAAATGGCAATCTGCTTAAAAAAAACAAGTGAATAATATCTATATAACTTTTTATTTCTGTGTATAGCGTGCTTAACAAAAAAAACAAAAAACGGTTTAGCCCCTTTTTATAACCTATGATCTAAATCTATTCTATACATTTGATGTTCTTACTGTTTAAGAATCTTTACTGGTGTGGAAGTTAACTCTCCTTCCCTGAATTTTCAGTGGATATCTGACATATTTATGGGGATGTTAATGAACGGGTATTCAGAGACCTATTTGTATGGATCAAGTATATATTTCTATAATCTTAATACATTTTCATCGACTTGTTCACCTTTTCTTCATAGCAAAGTTTATACATTCCCTCTATTGATTCCTTCCTACCCAATGCCAGGCTAACTTTTTTGTGTAAAATTACATTTAGTCTGTGAAGTTCCCCTTCACTCCAGTGCTGTATTTCTCCACTAGAACTCCAGTCATTCTATTTGCATAGTGCAAGAGGGCTGTAAATGACAGTCCTCTCTCACATGAACAGTAGCCTTAAGGGGTTCAAAATACAAGCAAAATGGCAGAAATGGAATTGATTTGAAATTGATGTGAAAAAGCTGGGTGTTTTTTTTTCAGGAACACATTCCCAGAAAGCTTCCAATGTTTGTTCTAGCAGCTAAAATGCATTTGTGGGTAACTGAATTACAAGATCCCTTTCAAATGCTTATAAGCAGGGTATATGTGACAGCAATGGCATTTCTGCTAAAAATTTGGACACTTTCTGAATTTTTGAAAGATAAAAGATAATATGTAAAATAATATAATATATTGGTGAAAATGTTTTTAAACCCCCAGTATCCCCTCACCATCCCCCAATATCCCATGGAGCAATGTATGCTGTGTGGACACAGGGCTCCTGCCAGCAGCGTGTGTCACTTTGCCAGGGAGATTAAAGGGACACTATAGTCACCAGAACAACTACAGCTTATTGAATTTGTTCTGGTGAGTCGACTCAGTATCTTCAGGCTTTTTGCTGTAAACACTGCTTGTTTCAGAGAAAACGCAGTGTTTACATTACAGCCTAGTGATAACTTCATTGGCCACTCCTTAGATAGCTGATAGAGATCCTTCCTGGGTCATGGCTGTCTAAAATGCAAAACCCAAATATTCAGTATCTCCTCCCTCTGCATGCAGACACTGAACTTTCCTCATAGAGATTCATTGATTCAGGTCATCTCTATGAGGAGATGCTGATTGGCCAGGGCTGTGTTTGAATCATGCAGGCTCTGCCCCTGATCTGCCTCCTTGTCAGTCTCAGCCAATCCTATGGGGAAGCACTGTGATTGAATCAGGATACCACTTCTGATGGTGTCAGTGGGCAGGTCAAAAGGAAACAGGTACAAAGCAGACTTGAATACAAGTGAGATTTGACTATATTTAGGGAGGCATGAGGGGACCAGGGTGGCTAGATGGTGATTTTAACCCTATAGGGTCAGGAATACATGTTTGTGTTCCTGACCCTATAGTGATCCTTTGAACACATGTAACATACACAAATAACTATCAATTAGCAGTTGTTACAGATATGTTACAGACTTGCTAAAGTTTATTTATTAATTTATTATGCATTAACAGAAATCTGCAGAGCAAAGTGCTGTAATTGGACCTAGGGTATGTATATTGTAGGGAGAAGGTAGGCAGCAGAGGAACTTACCCAAGAAGTAGTGTTTTAAACCAGGCAACGTAAATAAAATGTACATCAGGTTAACAGCATATACTACTTCTGGATGTTTGGGTTTTTGTTTTGTTTTGCTTTATATAACATATCACAGTGATGGCTAGTGTTATCAAATTGCAAGTGGCATAATTCATTTTACAGAATGTTGTTCGTGGCTTTGTAGTGCAGATGCATATAATGATCCTTATATCTATATGAACTCTACAACCTTTACTATTGCTTTACCCCCTACATCCTCTACAACTCTTTTGATACTTTAAAAAAAAAATATTTCAAATTATAGTTTACTAGATAAATAATTACGGTATGTTGAAACGAACACTTAATGGAAAATGTAGGCCAAACAAGTCTGATTAGACATATAACTGAACTGGAGAATGTCTCCATTTTAGCTAATTTGGACTATTTCACTATATTGCACTAGTTGGTGGATGAACACCTCTGCTCTGCTATCCACGTGTGCTCCCTTCATTTCTTTACTCTTCTCTTAGTGCCTTTTCTCTCAGGTTATTTTTCCAACAAACATATCACCCTCATTTGTCTTCTAATTTGGTTTAACCCTGCTCAGGTACTGTGCCTAGATTTCATGGGGAAATTCCCACTTTTATGGTGACTGTAAAGGGGAAAGCTGTAGTTAAAGGGACACTATAGTCACCTGAACAACTTTAGCTTAATGAAGCAGTTTTGGTGTATAGAACATGCCCCTGCAGCCTCACTGCTCAATCCTCTGCCATTTAGGAGTTAAATACCTTTGTTTATGAACCCTAGTCACACCTCCCTTCATATGACTTGCACAGTCTTCCATAAACACTTATTAGGCTTTCTTTATTGCAAGTTCTGTTTAATTAAGATTTTCTTACATGAAACAAAGTAGTTCTTGCTTTGTCTTATGTGTGTGTGTGTATTGGAAGTTTTGTTGAGATTTAAAGCAACCACAGCACATTCAACATGAGCTTTTCGCAAAGTCTCTATGTTTATTAAAATCTGTATTCTGTATGGCAGAGTGAAGGATATTTTAACTTGAGAAAGTAAACACATCTGTAATATGTAGGAGTAATGCTCTTTCCTCAAATCATCCTGTTAGTTTGGAGAACATTCCTCAATGTAATGAGACTATATTGATTTATAAAACCAAAGGTAAATTATGAGTCGTCTGCATACTTGACAACTGTCCCGTTTTTGCCGGGACAGCCCCGGCAAGCTGGAGTCTGTCCTGGGCAATTCACCCTCCCACGACAGTCCCGGCAACTTGCTGGCCATGCGTTTTTATTATTTTCCCTCGGACTGTAACAGCTTGTTACAGTCCGAGGGAATCCAGGAGAGAGGTGCTGGAGACTGTGGAGAGATGCTGGTGGGGGCTTGAGGGAGCAATCACAGTCTCCCTTCCAATTTCGAAGCAGCTTCCCGGCACACAGGCTCCTGCTCTGCGGCACAGACGGAGGCTCTGCCTCCGCAATGGAAGCCCCAAGCTCTGCCCTTACCTTTAAGCAGGCGACCTTACTGCTGTTTGAAGAGGCCAGAAGATGGCTACCTGACCTCCCAGCAACAGCCTCCAGTGCCAGGTAGGCTTGATATATTCAGGTGTGTGTGTGCGCCTGCCTGCCTGCTAGTGAGAAAGCTTGTGTGTTTCTCAATGAGTGTGTGTGTGTGTGTGTAAGTGAGCTTGTCTGTAGACCACCGGGGCACAGCACCCCTCATACACACACAGCACCCTCACACATACACACTGCACCCCTTATACACACACGGCACCTCTCACACACACTGCACTCCTCATGCACACACAGCACCCATCACACACTGCACCCCTCACACATACACAGCACCCCTAACACAAAGCCCCCCTCACACACATCACCCCACATACACAGCACCCCTCACACATTCACACACACAGCACCCGTCACAAACATCCTTTGTCACAAACTGCACCCCCTCAGACACGCACAAAGCACCTGTCACACACACAGCACTCTTCACACACTGCACCCACACGCACAGCACTCTTCACACACTGTACCCCTCACACACAACACATACACTGCACCCCTCTTTGCAGTCTGTGTGTATTCAGCAGTCTGTGTGTTTATGAAGTAGCCTGTGTGTATTCACCAGTCTGTGTGTGTGTATTCAGTGTACTGTGTGTATGCACTATGTATGTGTGTGTGTACTCTGCAGTCTGCGTGAGTGTACTCTGCGGTCTGCGTGTGCGTACTCTGCGGTCTGCGTGTGCGTACTCTGCGGTCTGCGTGTGCGTACTCTGCAGTCTGCGTGTGCGTACTCTGCGGTCTGCGTGTGCGTACTCTGCGGTATGCGTATTCTGCAGTCTGTGTGTGTGCGTAAACTTAAAAAGGTGAAAGGGGAGGCGGCGCCACAGGTGAAATAAAATATAAATAGATAAACCTGATTTATACAAGCACATATACAAGACACTATATAAGAGAAAATACATGCAAGATAAAAATCCAAAAAGAGCTCGAAATATGGATAATGAATAATAATCAAGAGTCCAAAGACTAAGTCCAAAAGAGTCTATGCCTTATAAATGCAGTAAAAAAAAAGTCCAAATAAAACCTTGTATAAGAAATCAGTCACAATCTTGTCAGGGGAAGTATTCCTCAGTAACGTATGGACATGGGATATTTGTAAAATCGATATGAAAAAAATGAAAAGACATCAAATAATGGTGCAGTATATCCCAACAGGTACTAAGAACTGTTTTTAGAGGTCTATATGGTCCTGCTCACGTTTTCCAGAGCTATAAGACAAGCTCTAGTGTGGATGGCATACAGTGGTACAATCCCCACTTATGGGATACGTGACGTTTTGTAGTGGATGGATATCTTGTTGGTATAAGGACCATATGAAATGTAAAAGAAACAATAATAGTGCTTATTGTATAAAAGCCAGAGGTGAAGTAATAAAATACCAAGTGGTTACTCACATTTTATTGAGCAGGCAGACTGCTCAATGGTTAAAGCTTGAGTGGTATAATCCCCACCAAGGATTCTTTGGAGTAAAATTCTCACTGGAACAATAAAAACTCTGGTGCCAGGTAAAAATAAATAAAAGACCTCTAAAAACAGTACTTAGTATTTAGTGGGTGCAAAGTGTCCCTGGAAATTTTTTTTCAAATGTTGGCAACTGTGCATCTTTATAAATTCCCATTTCATAACATACAAAAAAAAAAGCTATAAGGGAATAGATACATGTCCTGTATGGGGGTGGGGGGTAACCTCTAATCTTTCAATAAAAAAAAATTAAGCACCCACATAATGACTTGTGCCCTCCACCTGTAGGTGGTTTTTGTGTGTACTTTTTGTGCTTGTTTCCTTTGAAAGATAAGGAAGTTGCTGGAAAACACTCTGGGACAGTCAGAAAAATACTTAACAAATCATAGTAACACTGTAGTGTAATTGGAATGGAATTCTAGGGTTACAGTCCTTTTTTTTTTTTTTTTAACCCCATCTTGAATAGTGGGACCTAGTAAGGGGCAGATCAGAAAATGACATAGATGATTTCCTATTGCATTACGTATTAGAACCACGTGGTCATGGGAGATTGAATGTGCCTTCCCCACCCTTCTGATGCAACATGTTACGTTAGGTTAAGGTGTTAACAGGGATGGTCAGATTTTGTTCTTTTCTTATTATTATTGCCATTTATATAGCGCCAACAAATTCCGTAGCTCTTTACAATATTATAAGATGGGGGGATTTAGCTATAAATAGGACAATTACAAGAAAACTTACAGGAACGATAGGTTGAAGAGGACACTGCTCAAACGAGCTTACAGTCTATAGGAGGTGGGGTATTAAACACAATTCTTGTTGGATTGTGTTCTTTGATAGATGATGTGCAGTAAATTTAATAAAAGCATTCACAGTTCATACTAAGAATGCAAATCAGGGACTTAACCTACACTAAAAATCCCAAAGAGAATTGGCTGCCTTGTAATGAAAATAGACTTTTTGGCTTTGCTTTTATTTTCTTTGTGCAAACAGATCTGCTTTTTCAGCTTAGATTTTACTTATTTCAAATGGAATTTCTAGCAATAAATAACTGTTGTATATTATTGATATAAACTGTTTCTAACCTGAGACATAAAGTAATTCAAACAAAGCAATTTACATTTTTTTCCAAAAAGTACATATAAATAGTGGGTGCAAATGACCACTGATTTTCTTTGAGAAACATGTAATTTCTTCATATTTATGTTCCTTTAAGAATTTGCGTTTCTTAAAGGACTACTATAGGCACCCAGACCACTTCATTGAGCTGGAATAACCCTAAAGTAAACATAGCAGTTTCTCTGAAACTATGTTTACAGCAGGCAGGGTTAATCCTAGTTGGACCTGGCACCCAGACCACTTCATTGAGCTGAAGTGGTCTGGGTGCCAGGTCCAACTAGGATTAACCCTGCCTGCTGTAAACATAGTTTCAGAGAAACTGCTATGTTTACTTTAGGGTTATTCCAGCCTCTAGTGGCTGTCTCATTGACAGCTGCTAGAGGCGCTTCCGCGCTTCTCACTGTGATTTTCACAGTGAGAAGCCGCCAGCGTCCATAGGAAAGCATTGAGAATGCTTTCCTATGGACCGGCTGAATCCGCGCGTAGCTCTTGATGCGCATTCAGCCGATGACGGCCAAAGGAGGAGGAGCGTCCCCAGTGCCCCTGGAGAAAGGTGAGTGTTTTCCCCCTTCCTCCCCCTTCAGCCCGGCGGGAGTGGGACCCTGAGGGTGGGGGCAAGTTTGTTTTCCTGGCACTATAGTGGTCCTTTAATGCTTAAAAAAGACATTCTTCATCTTCACCATTTCAGTCAGTAGTTTTTTCTTGACTCCAAAGGTATTAATTAATATAATTTGTAAAATAGACACAGTGACTACCACAAGTCAAAATATCAATAGGGTTTCCCTGGGATTCAATACTTTCTGTATAATTCATCTGTCTAAGCACAGCCCACTCTTATTTGGCACTACTGAGTACAGACCATTGCCTTTTTTGTTTTATCCCTGAGTGGGCCCTGTCCTCTTCCTGGACTTCACAGGTAAATATACTGAGATTTATATACTGTCTATTTATGAAATAGAGAATTTAACCCAGTTTCTGTGACTCCATAATAACCATCAGATATTCAATATGAAATTGACAAAGGTGTGTTTCTTTAAGGTAGAAGCCGAATTGTGTAACTTAAGTAACAGAAAGTCTGTACAAGGTCTGATTACCCCTTTAAATGTATTGCATATTTTACTGCGTTTTAAGGACTGAATCTACAGGACTTTTGCATAGTTTTACAAATGGTATTACTGCTTCCTGCGGTTTTGACTGTTATATATCCCAGGAAACCCAACAATTCTCTGGCAAACATACTCCTTTAATTCCACTTATATTTTCCATGTGTTAAATTTGCTTTTCTTCTTTTTTAAATTTTTTATTTTACTTCCTTCCTGCTTTCATCCCTCAATAATATTCACATGTATGTTGTAATATAAGCACTACAAATTATATTGCGTATTGCAAAAAATGAAACCGTAGTCTAGACTGGGGCTATCAAACTCTAGTATTAGAGGTTTACAAGCACAGCACCCTTTTAGGATACAGGTGGTCTTCATACTTACATCAAATTAGATACTTGCAAAAGGCCAATGTAAATTAGAATGATGTAACACAAGTCTTACTCTTACAATCCGTGATATATAGGTTTATGTCCATGATTGAGTTTGTCATTTGATACTTATAAAATGCCACAATATTTGACACTAACTTATGTAGAGAACATTGAGCAATTCAATTTTCTAAAAGGTATGGACATATCTAAAACTGAGATAAAAGCAGGTTTTTAGGGCTTACTCTCCTAGTGTAAAAGGCAGCTGGCGCAAAGCAGACCAGACTCTCTCCTATCTGGTTGATGGTGTTTAATAGAGACGATAAATTTAGGAAGCAACGTCTTGATGTGCTCCTCAGGTTCATAATGATATGCAGTGGAAGAAGAGGACAAGAGGAGGGAATATAATGTAGCAAGTAGATACTTATACTATTAAAGAAAGAAGAGATTCACTTACAGTGTTTGGAGCCGAGAACTAGCTCTAGATGTAGTGCCTGAGCAGTACAATCCCTGTCTGTGTATATGGGTCTGAAGTCTTGATCCAATAGAATATAGTTCGGATATGAAATGCAGAAAGAACAAAAACCACCAATACAGTATAGTATATCGGATACCCGGATTATTGAACAAAAGCGCATACTCACATTTAATAGAGCCTTCTTGCACAAGGTCTTGGGTGGAATAATCCCAACTCTTGGATATATGTGCAATCTTCTCTCTTGGGTGTGAATGGGTTAAAATCCTCATCTTGATATAAAAACTGAAAAAAAATATATAGTGCACACTGTGTTGTTAAATAGACTAAAATATTAGGAAATGAACTCACTTGGTTTAGAGCAATGATTGGTTTTCCTCAATCCAAAGGCATAGGTGGTTTGTTCGACACCAAGGAAAATTATGTTTCAGCGTCAGGATATATATATATATATATATGTATGTATAAACAACGAGAGGAATGGCAGCACTCACGATCTTCAATAAAATAACTTCTTTAATGTAGCAAGATTAAAAAGTGGGATCAACGTTTCAGTCCTTTTCCAGGACTTTCATCAGGATCAATAAAAAAAAATTAATTTTATTGATTCTGAAGAAAGGACTAAAACGTTGATCCCACTTGATCTCACTTTTTAATCTTGGTACATTAACCCCTTCAGGACCAAACTTCTGGAATAAAAGGGAATCATGACATGTCACACATGTCATGTGTCCTTAAGGGGTTAAAAAAGTTATTTTATTGAAGACCGTGGGTGCTGCCATTCCTCTCGTTGTTTGGATAACCAAAGTCCCAGGCTGAGCACCTTTGATACAAATCCTACCCTTCTGATTGCTCAGTACGGCTGCTGAGTGCAGACAATGGAATAATATCCCTTCATGTTACTTATCAATCCTATCCCCTCCACACACAATCTCTATAACTGAAATATGTATCTTCTTCTCCATGGTGAACTCTGTTTCACGTTTACAGTTTCCCTTTTAAGTAGAGCATTAAACACCATTGCTAAAATTATTTTATCACTTAGTATAGGATTATCACCTCTGAAAGCAAGAACCATCCCCTACAGCCACACTAATTAAACTAATAAAGCCATCCATGTAATACTTGCTTTCAGCGTGTAGACCCCAAGGTGTAATACTGAGGTCCACCCATGAACTGGATGTACATGTACATGATCACATCTGGTACATGATGTCTGGAACGGATTAATCAAATTTCCATTAATTCCTATGGGAAATGTTGATTCAGTTCTTGAACAAATCGGAACTGGAACATCCTTCTTGAACGGATTAATTTCGAGTTCCAAGCTTCCACTGTACTCATTTTCTGTTGGATGGGGGGATGTTTTAAATTAAAAAGAAAATATTTCTGATCCTTGACCTCAATATCGGCAACATTCCTTAAAATTACTATGCACAAAGGGACATGTTGTTTATAGGTCTGAATACAACTAGAACTTATGTGAAATTTTTCTCAGAATGAGAAAAGATGCAAACCAACAAGTATGTTTTAAGCTCTTGACTTTTTACTCTTGCTTTACTTATATACACTCCAAACATCTTGCTCTTAAGGAGCTTTAGTTGTGGCTGCATGTATATACTATATTCTTAAAATAATGAATGGAGTTACTGCAGCATTATCCTTGTATTATGATTAATTCCACTGATGAACACTGAGCCATGCATTCCCTGAGCTCTGACTTCCCATAGAAAATAATAGAATAGCTTCGATTGACTTAGTTTAAAGGGACACTATAGTCACCCAGACCACTTCAGCTCAATGAAGTGGTTTGGGTGCCAGGTTTTAACCCTTCAGATGTAAACATAGCAGGGTTACATTGCAGGGTTAATCCAGCCTCTAGTGGCTGTTTTCCTGACAGCCACTAGAGGCGCTATTTCGCCACTGGATGCAAAATGGCTTCAAGCGTACAGAACGTCCATAGGAAAGCATTCAGAAATGCTTTCCTATGGACTGTTTGAATGTGCGCGCGGCTCTTTCCGCGCACGCGCATTCTGCTCCACTCGAGAGCTGGCGTCGACAGGAGGAGAGGTCACCAGCGCCGAGGGAGCCCGGCGCTGGATTAAAGTAAGTAGCTGAATGGGTTTTAACCACTTCAGGGCCAAGGGAGCGGGGCCCTGAAGATGGGGGGGAGGGGTGTCCTAAGGAGTATATAGTGTCAGGAAAAAGAGTTTGTTTTCCTGACACTATAGTGATCCTTTAAGCATGGTTTGTTATAAGATCTAAACAAGGAACTTCAAAGTTCAGCAGGCTTATTTATTACAAAATGCTGATCTGAGGCGGCGTCTCGTTTTAATTTTACACTGCTGAGCTCATTTATATAACACTGAATTATAACAGGCATACAAAACTAAAAGGAACAAGATGCAGATTGCTCTAGAGAAGACGACCCCTGGGTGCAATCTTATTTAGTTCACCCATAACTATCCAAAGTGGAGAATACCTTGTGATTCAATCCACAGTCACATCCCAGCCATAAAATCAAAAGCATTCCAACCCAATGCACGCATGTCTTTCTCTATTGGAGATCAACTGCAGCTCACATTGGCCTCAATTTTAACAATTTTGGATAAGCTTTTCAAATGATTGAATATTTTTGGATACAATTTTAAAATGATTTAATCTTGTGGAATAAAAAAAAGTGCTGATCTATTTTTTTATATAGGATATATTTGTGATATTTCAATATTTTGCAAAAAAAACTAAACTGTTTTTATTCAAAATTATTCAATTATTTGAAAAGCTTATTCATAAATATTACATTGAGGCCATTGTTGTTTGTGTATATGTATATATATATATATGTGTGTCTGTAAAGATATAGAAGCAAATGTTTTGCCATATTTAATCAGGAAGTCGATGGAACAATTGTTGCAGAAAATAGCCTTAAATTGTAAAGTGTTTTAAAGCTGGTTTTTATTCTATGGAAATGTTAAATTGTGTTAGCAGTTCTGTTTATTAGTATTTGTACAGTTAAAGATATTGAGATGATATAAAGATTATGAAATCTAACTGCCTGACAACTGTTTTTAAATTGCAGAGCCTGCAATATATGTATTTTGCTGGGGGAAGGGGAGGTGGGAGAGGAAAATAGCATTAGTAATACCTACCCATAATATGTTTTTATTTATGGCTTTTTGATTGTGGGATCTAAGAAATATTTATTTTTCTCATTTTTTTCTTTTGTTTTCTATTTAGGATTGAATTTCCAGTCCAGATAAATCACCTGCCTCGGGAAACCCTCCTTACGGTTACACTTTATGCAGTTCCTGTCCCACCTCCTGGAAGTTCCTCTGAGCCAAGCAAACAGAAGCGAAATCCTGTGCCCCTGGGCTGGGTCACAACACCCCTCTTTGACTTCAGACAGTAGGTTCTACTCCACACTCATCACAAACTCTTCTAATTCATATACAATAGTGCATTGCTGTACAGAGCTTCACTAGTGCAATACTTTAAATATTCTCCTTTTTCTTCTCTATTTTAAGGTCATGAATGTTAGTGGCATTTCTTTTTACAATACTTTTTTACTTGGGGGGGCGCTATTGCATACTTAATATGCATATAATGTATTGTAAAAATATACATTGCACTGAGAAATGGAATACCCACTAACTTACCTGCAAACCCTGCAAACACCTACTTGGACTTCAGTGGTTTGACTTTGAGACTTTATGGTATTAGTTAAATGATTATAGAGTATATTGTTTTTCAGTATTTCCTTATTTTTTTTTTTTTCTAAGCACAGTTTTCCACTAATTTTGTATGGTTTTCACTCAAAAGTTGACATCAACTCTTTGAACTGTCGTTGTCTCATAATGTATCTTGTCTTCTAAAGGCTTTTAACCTGTGGTCGGCGTTTACTTGGTCTTTGGCCAACAACAAAGCATGGTAATACCAGCTTTAGCACTCCGAACGTGAATCAACCAGACAGTATAATCCTGCAGGTAAAGACCTCTCCCAAATGTCAATGTCAAAGACATTCCGATTTTAAAGAGTGAATCTCGCAGTCGGAAAGTCATATGTCTGTGTTTCGCAGGGATAGGCAACCTTTGGCACTCCAGATCTTTTGGACTACACCTTCCATGATGCTTTGCCAGCATTATGGCTGTAAGAGCATTGTGTGAGATGTAGTCCAAAACATCTGGAGTGCCAAAGGTTGCTTATTCCTGTATTGTAATGCATCGTATATAGATATATACTGATGTTACAAATTACCTGGTGCAGAGTTCTAAATGCCTGTTTACAAAGAGATTTTTAAAAAGGTCACACAAGGCCATTTCTTACTTACGTAGGTTTTATTTTTACCTGTTGTTACCTGAGCACTTTGAAGAATATGTATATATAATGAATCTCTTTTTAACATTGGAAAATGTAGCCATCATGTAATTAACACAGTAGGTATATGTTAACTACATTTCCCATGATGCTTAGGCAGCCTTAGGTAAGTTACGCTTACATATACTGTATAAGCATTGATGAACAATCACTAGTGCACTGTTATTAAAATGGCTGCTTGTGCAATAGGCTGATGGTACAGTTATTGATGAGTAAGCAATAAAATGAATGATCCGGACATCTGTCAATAACAGAAAGTGTTTGGATACTGATGTATGAGATGATGAAGAGAATTTTGTGAGTTGGTTCCCCCCCCTCCCCCCCCTATTGATCCTCAAGTTGAAATTGATTGAGTTCTACACACTGCCACGTCCTCTTCTCTCTGCAAAAGCAAAGCAGCAATTCCTTGGATCTAACTCGATAGAATAAAAAACAGCTGCTACATGGGTCCCCTTGCCAGGAAACTTTATAGAGTGAGATGTCTTCTAAGCTTAGTAACAGAAATTTCTGACAAAACAGACTTTTATTACTGAAAAATTAGCCTGCTCTACCACCCCCCCTTCTCAACTGGTTTATTGCCACATGGAATAAGTGGATAATTTTCCATTTTTTTTATTCCACATTTTAGTGGTTGCCCTATTTAAACCTAATGCATTGTGTTATTAGTCAAAAGAATGTGGGAAATAGAGCAAAGAAAGTATTACAAATGTTCTCATATTTCAGAAATGAAAAATAAGCTTTAATAATTGTTTGAACACTTGCATAAAATATTTGATGTGCATGAAGAGATGCATCTACTGTTTAAAAATTCTCATTTTTTAAAATGATACTTTTTATATATTTTTTAAGTTGTGTAAGTTAGAATTTTAGAGTGCTATATACTTTCATTTGATAACTTGTCACTAGCATAGTTAAATAAGGCTTGGATGCATGATGTGTGTATTCTGAGATGTCTAGATTTAAAATGATTTATCTACTGAACTGGGAATCACAGAGAAACAGACAAGGGAACTGATTCACTTAGGCCTAAGTAATGGGGTTTTCGTATATAATTTGGAATTACACTCTCTACAATTACTGGTTAAGTGAATACACCTTAAGTATCTTACTGTAAAGAATATGCAGCGAGCATTCCTTGATTAATAATAGACATGTCCTGTAGGACATGGTTCAGAATTACCACTAGCCATTGGCACGTGAAAGCTCAGCTGTGATGAGTACAAATTAACCCCTTGTGATTATGCCATAGATCCTCCAGGTGTGCAGTGGCTAGTAACCTTTAAAGTGACACTACACTGCCCAAATAAAATAAAAAATCAAATCACTGTCTAGTAGATTTACCGCCATTGAAAATATGCATGCATTTCATTTTGCATTTTTTTTTAATTTGGCTAATTCTAGAAAGAGATCTCTTGTTTGCTTCATTTGAAAGTCCTCCCCTTCTAGCCCCTTCCAGACTTCCTGTGGCTATCCAATCACAGACTTCCCAATGCAGCACAATTAGAAGCCTTTGCAAGGCAGGCACTCTGGACAGTTGCTGCTTCTTAAATTTATCTCCACTGAGCTACCCAAACCAGTAAGTAACAGAACTGGTTGTCTGATTGAGAGCCAGGGGGTGTTACAAGATTAATTTATAAAAGAGCCAATTTTCATTGAAATCTGCATTTCTTGTAAAAGTGCAAATTAGAACACACTGTTCACATATAAAGCACTTCAGCAAGCTAACGTGCTTTATGTTTGGAGTGTTCCTTTAAGACCTTGGTGGCCTTACAATTCGAAAAAGATAGCTAGATATTCAATTGAAGTAACCTTAAAGTGACACTATAGTCACCCAGACCACTTCAGCTCAATGAAGTGGTCTGGGTGCCAGGTCCCCCAGGTTTTAACCCTTCAGATGTAAACATAGCAGTTTCTAGTGGCTGTCTTCATGAAAGCCACTAGAGGCGCTTCTGCGACGCTGGATGCGAAAATCGCATTCAGAGTGCAGAACTTCCATAGGAAAGCATTGAGAAATGCTTTCCTATGGACTGTTTGAATGCACGCTTGGCTCTTGCCGCGCAGGCTCATTCCGCTCCACTCGGGAGCTGAAGTCGGCGGGGGAGGAGATGTTACCAGCGTTTTAACCCCTTCATCCCAGCGGAGGGGGGACCTAAGGGTTATATAGTGTCAGGAAAACGAGTTTGTTTTCCTGACACTATAGTGATACTTTAACTATAACTTTCTTCCCTATTGCTTTGTAGTTTTATCCACTTATTTTTATTGCTCTGTTTTCTCAGATCGATTTCCCCACCTCTGCATTTAATGTGAAATTCACAAAGCCGGAAACAGAAGCTTTCAGTCCCAAATACGATTTATCCAGCCTTGGTGAGGAGGATCGTTCCAAACTCCAGGAAGCCATGCAGAAGGAGTCTTTATATTGGTGAGAGAAAGAAAAGTCACTATAAAAAGAAGAAAAAAAAATTCTATGTGCTTAATTATTCAATAAACATGGTATAATGTCCAATTAATGACAACTTGGAATTATCTAACCACTCCTTTCTATTACATTAACTATATCTGAGATAATTCTGGTAATATTGGAGAATATTTTTAAAGCATACATACCATCCATACTGTACTTGAAATATATACTCATTCTATCACCGATGTTATGTGTTTATAGTGCAGTCCACTGCTTAAAGGGGTCCTGTAGTGCCAGGAAAATAAAGCCATTTTCCTGGCACTATAGATTTCTAAGGAGCTCCCTCCCCCCTCTCGCGAGCTGAAGGGGTTAAAACCTCTTCAGTCACTTACCTGAGTCCCTCGGTGCTGGACGTCCTCATGCAGAGCGTGAGGACGTCCAGCGCCAGATAGTGGACCAAAGGTCTGTTTCGATTCCGGAAGCCCTCTAGTGGCTGGTCGATTCCGGAAATGCCCTCTAGGGCAGACTTAGAGCTGCAATGTAAACGTTGCAGTTCTCTGGAACTGCAGTGTTTTATATTGCAGCACTAAGTTCAAAAGGGACACATTGGACACACAGTGAGCTGAAATGGTGTGGGTGCTTACAGTGTCCCTTTAAAAAAAGGTATGAAAGGAATCCTTGAATTTCCCAAATCACCTTCCTTAAAGGACCACTATAGTGCCAGGAAAATAAACTTGTTTTCCTGACACTGTAGTGTTAATAGGTTCCCCCCTCCCTCCGGGCTCAAGAGGGATTAAGGGGTTAAACACTTACCTTTCTCCAGCACCGTGCTCCCTCGGCGCTGGGGACTCTCCTCCCTCTTCTGATGTCATCCGCCGAATGTGCATGTGCGCCAAGAGCCGCACGCGCATTCAATCAGTCCATAGGAAAGCATTTCTCAATGCTTTCCTATTGACGACTGCGTCTTCTCACTGTGAGTCAGAGAGACAGCCACTAGAGGCTGGATTAACCCTAATGTAAACATAGCAGTTTTCTGTCGCGTGACATTATATCCTATAAGTTGTTTTTTTTTTTGTTTTTTTTTTAAATGCCGCTTTGTCACCGTGGTGCCTTCTATAAGCTTGCTTTTAAAAATAAGGAGCATGATACTCACCGTGCACAATTTAATTCAGTAACATTTTGTATTATCTGTAAGTGTGCCATACGGATGTCGGGCTGGGCATACTAGAGTTTTGTGGGCATGTGATCTGGCTGTTATTCTAACTCCCATACATGTTGCAGCTGTCTGACTGTAACACAACACCTTAACCGGCCTGAGATTACAGCCTGAACAACAGTTCACAAAGAGCCTGTCTGGTCAGCTCAAATCAATGTTATTTAAGACTTAAGACACCTAGACTGACAACTGATCCACATTCTAACCCCAGAGGAGCTGCATCTCACTTTGATAAATTTGCTGCTAACAATAACACAATACGGATGTTTGGTCCTTCTGATGAAATGAACATGTGTTCATCGTGAGCTGATGGAAAAAGAAAAGGAAAACATTTTTTTTAATTTATTTTTTTTTACATGAAACACATCTCAACCAGATGAACCATTTTTGCAACTTTTGTTTTCTGCTTTCTGTCCTTTCTCTCATCTTGTTTTACATGCTGGTGTTCTCGTGGCACATTCAGTTTTTGCTGTAGTTGGCAAGTCTCTAAATAGCAAGTGTCTACATATGTTTCTCTTTTATACTTGCAGTAAACATTCCTATGTCTGACTTAGTGATCTGAACAATTAACAATACTAGTTTTGTTCTGTTGAAAATGTCAAGTGGCTTGGTATCCTATTTGCCAATAGATATATAGTTATAATCCATTAAATATTCACATCAGTGTTTACAAATACTTGCTTTCTCGTTTTTTTTATTTTCTCCTGCTTCCTTTATTTATCCAAGGAATTTAAATTACATAAAGGTGTATGCAAGGCATGGTGGGAAATATAATTTATTATGATTGTTTTTTTGTTTTGTTTTTACATTTTATTTATTACAAGAGTACGCATGTTAACACCTTTTAACCAAATCGGCAGGTGATAAATGTTTCCCTAGCACAAGACAGAGTTCTTTATCAATTCAGAAAGGCGAATAACGGAGTTGATTTTGACAGGAATAAATCATGAACCAACTGCATTATTACATATCTTTTTAGAGATGTGTTTTTCTCCCAAAGTGTCTGCCTACACTGTGGCATCAGGGGGAGAGGTTAGATATATTTACTTTTTGCTCCTAGACTCAATCATCTTCTGCGTTCCTCTGATGTTCAGCTCCACCTAGTTTCATGTGCCAGGAGATGCTGTCACTATTGTGCTCTAACTCCTGCTCCAGAAGAGTACAGAGTGGAGGCCTATGGACGGTTCAGCAGGGCTGCAGATCCTCCATGGATGACTTGCACTTGTGTAATGAGATGCCATAGACATCTTTGCACACTGCATGAAATGCCTATTCCCTTCAGCTGCTAGCTCAAAAAGTTGATAGGAAATGACAGGTGGTGACAGCAGAATTTCTGTACATGGCCTCATTTTGACATAAAGTGGGTCGAAGATCAAACAATGTAGTCCCTACTTACATAGAATTCCATGTGAGACACTCACACTGTTGGTGACATCATTTACGCTTTTAGTAAACATGGATCCTCTTTAATTTATATTTTTTAAACCCAGGGGAGAAAATGTTTTCTGGTTACTGCCATGTGAGTCTTTATTGTGTTTATAGTAACTAGTTAAGCATCATGCTTATTCTCCAAGGAAAAGAGCTTGCAATTTTAAAATTAAATTCTTTGTGAGGCACTGAGGATATAAATGGTTTCCAAACAGACCGATTTAGTTTGTTGAGAGCAACTCATTAAGATTTATTTATTTATTTAACAGTTCTTACATGGCACTCCTAATCAGAGATCTTTCAAATTATATAATGAGTCAAAATAACATTCTGATTCAGTCCAATAGGTAGTCTAATAGGATAAATTATATTAGACTAAAGAACAAAGATAAAGTCTAATACGGATCAGAATAAAGTGTGCTGTAAAATAACATACCTCAAGTTGTATGCAAACTGTTTTTTTTTGTTGTTGTTTTTTTTTAGGAACAACAATTGTTTATCATTTTTAACAAAATAAGTCTTCAACGGTATGGATATCACATTCAGCTCACTTATATAGAAAATCAAATATATCACTGTGCTAGAGATGGTCATGTTTATCCTAAACACTGCAGCTTGATCATTTCAAGGTCTTCAATGCTTGAGTTGATGACATCTTCTTGATTTCACACTACCTATCACCCTGTCATAAGAATTCTCACACGAGATTTGGTGTTCCATTGTGAACTTGAAATCTACACAATAACAGATCATTACTGAATACATATTATCCTCAAATAAAACGCCTGTATTTAATGGTACCTTTTTTGTTTGACTGACAATATTTAAAAGACAAGCTTTCAAGAGTTTTCCTCTCTTCCTCGGGTTTGAAAAAATTAATTGCTTCAGAACTGAGGAAGAGCGGAAACTTTTTAAAAACTTGTCTTTTAAATATGATGTTAGTCTAATAAAAAAGGTGGTATTGCAAATGACTATACTTTGGGGGGAGAAGGTTCCCCCCCCCCCCCTTTTTTTTTTCCATCTAGTCTACTGTACTAATAGCGAATCCAATCTGCATCCAATTAAAGAAAAATAGGGAGCACTATTTTTGGATAATCTCCTATGTGGTATCCATCATATAGGTTGAACTCTTGACACCAATAAGTCAAGAAAATATTTGAAAGACCAAAGAGATACCAGACATTTAAAAAGCATTCAAAGATATATCTACAGAGCGTGTAATGCCCCCGTAAATGTGAGTTAAAAGACACATGCTATGTTAGTATGCTTGTATACTATATCTATCAATATTTCTCTATTATATTTATATTTTTATTTGAAACTGCTGGCAAAAAAAATCTAGTATAAATTTCCGCTCCAATTTCCAAAATACTTTATGCCAGCATGGAACAGCTTCCTCATTTAGCTTCACATTTTTATGCGACCTTTGTTCCAATAATTGCATTGACAATTCTATGTTTTTTGTTTGTTTTGTTTTTCTGTTTTATATTGTGCACAAAGAGGACTTGCTCATTT